CTGTCCCTTTCCACTGAATGATTGGGGATTAGCCGCTTTGTCAGGAACCTGTGACCCAGTGCTTTGATCTGCATTACCCTGCACCCCTGTAGTGTACAGGCACCACGCCCCACTAAATCCAGCGTAACTCCACCTGTGTCAGTGGGAGGCGGAGAGGGTCGGGTCTGTGAAGGTGCATCTTTGTCCTGCAGGACTCCGTTCAGCTAAGAAGGTATCTTGTTCTTGCTTGGTCCATTGCCTGCCTGCCCAGGGAGAATGGTGCCCAGTACTGGATGCTGCCAAGTGGGGCTTGCAAAGGGGGAGAGACCTGGGGAGTAGGGGATGAACCACTCAGAGCCAGGCCTGCGAGTTCCATCCATCTGGGTGAGAGACTAGCAGAGCAGCAAGTGCCCCGGCATGACCCAGCCAACTCCCTCCGCTGGCTCCGTGCTGTTTAGGACATCAGGGTTCAGTTTTCAGAGTAGCAGCCATGCTAGTCTGTATCCGCAAAAAGAACAGGAGTACTTGTGGCACCTTAGAGACTAACAAATTTATTTGAGCATAAGCTTTCGTGGGCTACAGCCCACTTCTTCGGATGCATAGAATGGAACATATATTGAGGAGATATATATACACGTACAGAGAGCATGAAAAGGTGGGAGTTGTCTTACTAACTCTGAGAGGCCAATTAAGTAAGAGAAAAGGGGTTCAGTTGTTAGTACAGGTCCCTCTCTGACTCAGCCCCCTGGATCTGCACTTCCCCCTGGCCTGCAGGGGATCCTCCCTGCAGCCGAGTGACCTGGCATGGCAAGAGCAGCGTGTTCCCGGCTGGCTGAGCCGTGCACATCTCAGACCTGGGGGATTCCCTTCAGTCCAGCAGGGAGAGAGTTAGAAGAGCTGAGCCTAGTGGATTCAGGGGCAACTACAGCTGGTGCTTTATCGGGGTGGGACCTATTCCAGTGGGAGGAGCATGGCCTAGTGGTTGAGCCGGGGGGGGGGGGGGCCGGGAGGACTCCTGGGTTCAATTCCCAGCCTTGCTGTGTAGCCTGGAGCAAGTTGCTTCACACGTGCGTGCGTGTGTCTGTTTGCCCAGTTGTGAACTGGGGGTGGTGATCGGTCCCGTCTCCCCAGGGGCTGAACTCATTAGTCTCTGAAGTGCTTTGAGCTCCGGCTCCCAGGGAGAGGCGGGAGCATTTCAGTTGTGGAAGAGGGGAGGACGTTTGAGAGGAGCTGGGCCTTCCCTCCAGACGGGACGGGACAGGCCAGGCCCGCCGCTGGCGAGGAGAGCTCAAACTGTGGCTAAGGGCTGCATCTCCATCAAGCCAAGCGAGGCAGTTACAGCCCAGACTGCACAGGTCATGACCTCAGCTAATGAACTAGTCCCCACACTTTTCAGGGGCCTGGAATTTCCTGCTGTGCTGAAAGACAGTGGGGCCTCACCCTTTGCTCTGTACCCGTGGCTGCCCTGGGGGAAAGGCACCTGCTTTGTTTCCTCATGGAGTCACACCCTCGTAACATCACCTTCGGAGAAGGGGAAAACCCAGGGGCAGGGAGCAAGCTGTAGAGGTTTCAGTGCAGAGCGGATTCACCTCCTAGCGAGATCCAGGAGCAGCAGAGCGATGCCAGCACCCACACTCCAGCATGCTGCCTCCAGACAGGTCAGCCACTGCATCCCCCGCCTGTCTTGCCCCACCCCCCCCTCTCCCCCACTCCCCCGCCCCCCCCCCCCCCAATGCATACAACTCTGCACTACCTCCCCCTAGTCCAGTCAGGGGCTCCCCAAACAGCTGGGCTGCTGCCCCTCAACCCTACCCACTGGCCCTCACCTATCCCAGCCCTGGGCTCCCCACTCAGCTCTGTCTCTCCCCCTCAATCCTGGCCCTATTCAAGCCCCAGGCTGCCCACGCCGCTCACCCTGTTCCCCTTCTCCCTCCCTCAGGGCACCCCTCGCTGTCGCTGTGGCTCCCAGGGTGTCCCCCATGCCCCATCCCTGTGGACCGCCTTGCTGCACGCCCCATGTTCCCACCACACAAACCTGTCAAGCGACATCAGGCTCAACAGCAATGCCGGAAGCGTCTGTGCGAACGTCGCAGGGCACTGGATGAGCCGAAATCCCCTAACCACGCGAGACTGACGACCATGCCGTTTCCAAGGGAAATTTAAAGCCAAACCTCTTCTGGCTGCAACCAGGGCGTGCTGGAAAGGGGCCTTTCTAAACAGCCTCTGACTCAGCCAGCCGGCTCCAGCAGCCAGCCCAAACCCCGGCCAATGGAAAGAGACTCCAGCCCCTTGCCTGCCTGCCAGCACCCAGCCCTCCCCGTGACTTCCTACCGCCCTGCAGAAGGGGCCAAATCACGTACAGGGATCGCTTTGCTTCAGGCCACGTGTCCTCTGCTTTAGGAACAGATCCCTGCCTACTGGGGGAGCCTGCTCGCACTAGTGCTGGCCACACACCTGGCGGGTGGCGGTGGGGAGTCGTCCTGCAAGCAGGGGGGCGTCTTGGCAGTGTCTCCTTGGCTTTTCCTGGGGCTTCAATGTGCACTGGCTGTTTGTAGAGAAACAACTAGGGAAGCAAAATACAAACCAGAAAGACAATTTTCCTATAATTGTTCCCTGTGAATGGCTACCTGTGGGCATCTAGCTTCCTTCCTTTCTACCTGTCGACCTCCTACCCTGTCTATCCTCTCCAGACTATCCTATCCACAGTAGTGCCAATGAGGGAGGATTCTCATCGTAGGTATTAGTTGGTCGATGTTCCCCCTTTCCTTGCCACGCACCTTCCAGGTGCTCCCCACGCCACACTGAGATCTGCACTCCAATTCTCCTGATCCCGTCTTACTTCTCCAGCCACCAGACGGGACCTCTCCGAGCTCAGCCCCTAGGCCTGCCCTGCCGGGGCTGTTTGCTCCTTCCTGTCTGAGTCCCAAAGGAGCAGTCACGACGCTCGGGTATTTTGGTCCCCAGCAGCCTGGAGAATCAGGCCAGGCCCATGTTTAAGGCTCTTTTTAAAACTTCTTGCCACCATTAAACTCAGTGTCCGCCAGTCTGGGCTCCCGTTGCATTGCCCATGGGCTCCATGTCAGGCATGTGCTCCATATGTTAGGGCCCTAGGATACACGCTGTGGGAGCTGATGTTGCACAAATATGTATCTGAGCAGGAACATCTCACTCTGGCTCCCGTCAGGTGGAAAGGGGCAGGTTGTGGGGGGGCCCACTAGAGCAGGCCCCATGTCCTGGTGTAGCTGGAGCCCAGGCGGTGCTAATCCAGCCCTGGTAGGGTCTGCCTCCCCCCAGGGAGTCACCCCCAGACCTGGATGATCCCAGGAATCCAAGGGAAGCCAGGACCATCCATGTCCCGACTCTGGCTGTGACCCCCATCGGTACCCGCTCCCTGAAGTGTGACCCCGGGTACCCTCGGGGCCTTGGCAGAGCTCCCGGGCCTGTGACCGCAGTCTGGGACTCTAGTGACTATTCTCCTTTTCATGGATTTCTGTGAGCAACTTCTGTGAGGCTGGCCCAGTGGGTGTCTGGCCTCACTCTCCCCAGTGCAGCCCCCGACCAGGCAGCCAGGGCTGCACGTGGCCTGGGCAGGGCTAGGGGGATGGTTCAGAGTCTGAGGAGGTGTTGGGGGCACAGTTCAGAGTTGGCGGATGGATTTGGGGGGACAATTTGGAGTCTGGGTGTTGGTTCGGGGAGAAGTTTGGAGCTGTGGGAGCTGGGCTTGGGGCAGGTGCTTTGGCGGGTTTGTGGGGAGCGGTTCAGGGTCAGGGGAGGTGGATTGGGGGGACAGTTTGGAGTGGTGTTGGGGAGATTGTTTGTTTTTTCTTTCACCTGAATCAGATCCCAAGCCCCGTCCTGCTTTGGGACCAGCCGCCACCTGGTGCTGGCGGAACGGCCTGGGCCAGGCTGGGAACCGGGGGTCTTTGGGGCAGCTCTGCGCTGCATGGCCCCCATCACTGGGTGGCAGGTTCCAGCCCTTCCAGGCCCTGCTTGGCTCATGTCTGTGTCTGGGCGGGCAAGTCCCGTGTACAGCAGGCCCTGTGGCCCATGCCAGCTGGAGGGGGTAGCTCTGGCCCATGCAGGGCACCAGGCCTACAGGAGCTGGAGGGGGAGTCTGCTGGGAAGCGGGGCTTGATCATCCCCCGTCCCACCAGGTTCTCGGGCTGCCTTGGGACCAGCCCGGCGGCCCGTCCCATTGCCCGGCCGTGTGGGCTCCTAGCCGAGCATTGCCAGAGCAGCCATGCTGGCTATTGGGTCACGCTCCCCTGGGCCGGGTGCTGCACGCTGCACCAGTTCTGACTAGCCACGTCTTTGAATGCTCCCCCACCCCCCAGCCTCCTTCAGGAGCCCAGCCCAGCCATCCTGAGCCAGCCTGGAGCCAAACGTGCTGTGTCAGCCCAAGACAGACCTGTACACCACAGGCACAGCTGGCCTCAGGCTTCGACCCGCCTTCCCTTCGGGGAGGTATGTGTGTGTGTGGGGGGGGGGGGACTGCTCGGGATGCTCCCAGGGTACATTCCTCTCCAGCTGGGAGCCCCGGACAATCCCCTCCCGTCGCTGCACCAGCTCCTGCAACTTCACAGGACTCCTTCTCCCAGCTGGAACAGGTCCCGGAGCTCTGGCCACAGAGCTCACCCAGAGGCACACACCCGCCCGGAGGTACACCCCCCCCACCGAGGCACAGCCCAGCACACTGCAAAACAGACCCACGTAGGCAAGGGACACACACACACATCCATAGGAACACACACAGACGCGCAGAGAAACATTAGAGGCACACTCTTGTAGACAGGATACAAACACCCAGAGGAACGAACACACACGAAATTCATGCACTGAAGATCTCTCTCTCACACACACATACACTTACACACACAGACAGGAGCACAGACACTGGAGATCTCTCTCTCTCTCTCTGACACACACACACACAAAATCCCGCCTCAGCTCTCTCACCTCCGGCAGGCACACACGGCCCCCGCACAGCTGGCTGGAGTTTGCCCTGAGCAGGCTGGCGCCAAGCCTGTAGCCCCACTGATGTCATCCCGTCCCGTGTGAGCTCGGATACCATGTGGGGACGCAGGCCGGAGCTGCCACGGGGAACGGAGCTGGCCGGGGACAACTGCACCTAAGAGGGGACCAAACTTTCTGTTCCTTTCTCCCCAGCCCACCTTGCTCCCGATGAAGCCACAGCTGCTGCTGCCCCTGCTGTGGGCGTCCTGGCTCCTGGGGACCCTGCCCGAGGTAAGCCTGTGTCTCTTGCACCCCCTGTTTCTTCGCAAAGGACGCTAGTTTCAGGGCTCCCCTGCCCCGCTGGGGAATGACAGCATTCTTGCGGGCTGCCGTTCCAGCTGCACAGCTGCAGCACATTAGCAAGGTTTGCAGCCACAGGCTAGCTCCTTCCTCCTCCTCTCCCCCCTCGGTGCCCTCTCGCCCCTGCAATCAGAGCTGGTTGTTGTTGCCACGACTTCGCTTGGGGAATCGGCTGTTTGCAGGATGTGTGTGTGTGCACCCCACCCCCCATACACACAAACACCTCCCCATGGTCCAGGGATGAGGCAGGCAGGGGAACCAAGAGGGAAGAGACTCCAGAGAGATAATCAGTTCTCTGCTGCCTGCTGGGGGCATGGGACCGAGCAGAGCCACTTCCCTTAGCACAGAAGGAGTCAGTGTCTCTGATCCAGGGGGTGGGGGGTGCTCCCAAGAGGGGCTGAACACCTGGCACTGCTGTTGGGGGGCGCTGGGTGCTCCAAGCTTCTCAGGCTGCTCAGTTTGCACCCTCCCCCACATCTGCCTCTTTTCCCAGCACCTCCAGCCCAGCCGTCCCTGGGGGCTGTCCATACTTACGTAACACATTTTGGGGGTGATTTTCAAGACCTGCCCCCCTTGTGACACCGAAACAAACATGCAAAATGAAAGACCCGCAGACTCTCTAGTGCCTCGGGTAATTTATGGACAGCCCCCTGGCTGCAGTGCCGACACCTTGATGGTAGGCGCGGAGGTAGGGGGCAGACAGGAGCCGGCTGGCCTGATTTTTGGTTGCCGGGGACCAGTGGCTTGGACAGGGGTCGTTCAGTGAGGCTGGGAACAAGGGCTGCTGCCATCACGGCTCCTGCTCCCGTCTGGCCCAGCTTGGCAGTGGCTGTGGGGTGTCCTTTGTCCTGGTCCTAGGGCACTGACTGCCTTGCGCCCCTGCTGGGAGAGGCCAAGGTCGGGGGAAGCCGTGCAGGGTGAACTCCCCTCTCGTCCCTAGAGGTGAGACCCCCTCCGTCCCAGCCAAAGTCAGCCCTGGTGTAAATCCATTGCCCTTGGTGGAGCTGTCCTTGCTTATGCCAGAGCAGAGTTTGGCCCTGCAGGGCCAGGGTGGGGGAGGGATGAGTCTCCAGGCTGTCAGCCCTGCACCTACCATGGGAGGGAGGAGGGGATTTGCTTCAAAGGGAGTGGGCGTGTTGGGAGTCACTAACGGGGAAGGGGTTCTGGGGTAGAGACCAAGGTAACCAGCTTCGGCTGCCTCCCCGCTCATGCTCCTCCCGTGGCGTCTGGGATCTCGGCAGCCCCATCTACGCTGCAGATCCTGCTGTGCCCGGGCACTCCAGCCCCCTCCAGACTAGGGGGACTCCCCCCTTGGGGCCCCAGAGCCTGGGCGAAAGGCCTGGCCAGCCCAGGGCTTTGCATGGGGCAGTCTAGGTCCTGGCTGCGCTGCCGAACGGCGACGGGGACAAGCCTGCTGTGACTGCGCCCCCAGCCCCAGCAGTGCCATAGAGGAAGCCCTTATCTCTGCTTGCCAGATACCCCGGGCTGTCGCCATAGTGATGCTGGGACCTGTGAGCAGGGAGAGTTCCAGAGCCCCGGCTCCAGCCCAAGGCTAAGCATCTACACAGCAATTAAACAGCCCCATGGCCTGAGCCCAAGTCAGCTGACTCAGGCCAGCCGTGGGTGTCTGATTGCAGTGTAGACGTACTCCAGGTGATGGAGAATCCGTTGCATCCTAGGTAATCGGCTCCAATGGCTAATTCACCTACTTGTTAAAAATCTGCACCTTGGTTCTAGCCTGAATTTGTCTAGCTTAAACTTCCAGCCATCCGCTCTCCTGCCTTCGTTAAAAAAGGGATCAGAAACCTCCTCCTGATAGACTGTGTCTGAGCCACCTCACGGGTCTCACTCACATCGAATCCAATCCCACAGGGCGAGGGTTGTAACCGGACCACCTCCGAGGGGCATGCAGGAGCCGAAGCGGTGCCTGGTGAGAGAGGTGAGCAGCAGGGAGTTCTCCTCCGCTGGGGCTGGGCTGTGAGCTGGGCTAGCTCAGGGAGCGTCTCTGTAGCTCTTTATAGGCCTTGCTTAAGGCTCACAGTACTGCTAGGACAGGGGTGGGCAAACTACGGCCCGGGGGCCACATCCAGCCCTCCAGATGTTTTAATCTGGCCCTCGAGCTCCCGCCGGGGAGCGGGGTTGGGGGCTTGCCCTGCTCCATGCAGCTCCCGGAAGCAGTGGCATATCCCTCCTCCAGCTCCTATGCGTAGGGGCAGCCAAGGGGCTCTGCACACTACCCCCGCCCCAAGTGCCGCCCCCACAGCTCCCATTGGCTAGGAACCATGGCCAATGGGAGCTGCAGGGTCGGTGCTCGGGGACAGGGCAGTGCGCAGAGCCACCTGGCCGTGCCACCATGTAGGAGCCGGAGGGAGAACATGCTGCTGCTTCTGGGAGCTGCTTGAGGTAAGCGCTGCCCGGAGCCTACATCCCTGACCCCTTCCTGCACCCCAACCTCCTGCCCCAGCCCTGATGCCCCGCCCACCCTCTGAACCCTTCGGTCCCAGCCTGAAGCACCCTCCTGCACCCCCAACCCCAGCCCCACCCCAGAGCCTGCACCCCCAGCCGGAGCCTGCTATACAATTTCTATAGCCAGATGTGGCCCTCAGGCCAAAAAGTTTGCCCACCCCTGCGCTAGGAAGTAAGTATCATAATGAATGGAGTAGTGTAGATGTCACCACCACCCTCTGCTGGATGGTCTCAGAACTCCTTACTGTGGGTCATAGGCATTGCCCTGTTAGTAACTATCGGAGCAATCGTGCAGTTTTGCCTGAGCGAGCCGAGGTGCAGCCTGCGTTGCGGTGGGAATGACCGTTCCCTCCCGCTGGGCGAGGCTCTAGGCCCCGCAGAGCTGGGAGAAGGTGAGACCCAGGCCAGCGGGGGCAGTGCTTAAAGTGTGCGGGGGGAGGAGAGTCTCAAGGGGTCGCAGACTCGACCAAAAAAACCAAAACCAAATTAAAAATGGAGCTGGCGTTGATTCTGCAGGGAGCCTCCTGAACGTGAGCGTCGGCAACCAGGGCCGCCCTGACTCCCTCTTCCTGTCGTGGGATGAGCCGGACGGGGGTGCCCTGGGCTACACCCTGGCAATCTACACGCTGGAGCCGGACGTGCTGCTGCAGAACGGATCGGCTGGACCCAACGCTACCAGCTTCCAGTTCCAGGGGCTTGTCCCTGGGGCAGGCTACAGCATCGAAGTCACTGCTGCTCTGGCCTGCGCGGAGGCCTCCAGCCAGAGAGTCAGCGGCCAGACAAGTAAGGGCTCCCTACATTCCCCGCTGCTATCACCCTACCCTGCCCCAGGTTGGAGTGATGTGAGCCCCGAGGGGGGCACTGAGAGAGCAGGTCTCATGTTACCCCCAAACCAGGGGCTGTGATTGCAACTGGCCCTTGTATGGGAGGAGCCCTTGTCCAGAGCTTGCAAAGGGCAGAGGACAGGAAAAGTCCTGCATGGCAGAGGAGAAGGGGACGCAGGATGAAGCACGGCCTGTCCTCCCATTAGTCTCCCACCCCCTCAGGGGTTAGTCCCTTTTCCTGCCTCCTTGGCACTTAACCAGCACCAGCTCACATTCCCCCCAGGGCTCCAGAGACCAGCCGATGGCAGCCAGGTGGGGGCTCCGGCCAGAGCAGGGACCTCTGGATGGAAACATGAACCCCTTGCTGGCTTCTTTCTAAATCAGCCTGGCATTCAACCTTGCAGAGGAAGGCGATCCAGACCCAGGGCAGGGTGTCCTCCTGTACCTGCATCTCCCCCCTCCCGGCTCCTTCAGTGTTTGGGAGAACCAGGGGCATGGCGTGGATGGTGGCACCAGCACTGCTCTGCGCTGCAGCCCCACCCCCTGCTCTTTCAGCCTGGTGGCGGGGAAGGGAAACATGGAGATTCAGGGCTGGGGGGATTGGTGGGGAAAGGTGCTGAGGAGGGGAGCGGAGCGATGAGGGGTGAAAGGAAAGTGACAGAGGGATGAGGATGGGGAAGCAGGGCAGGCACTGGACTCCCAGGGCCATGGATTGACAGGAGGGCGGCTGGGGGCTATTTATGGTCAAACTTAACAGGATGGCCTTCGTGGGAAGGTCACTCTGCAGAACTGGCACCCGGCGGATTCAGAGGGAGACCGCTCCAAGCCCCCGTTTTCCCAGTGAATTCCCAGAATCTGACTCTAGGGCAGATCCCATTAGATCCCATTGGGTCCCTGGTATGGGCACACGGAAATCCCTGCCAAAGTGTTTCCCAGGGACAGAGTGGTGGCGGAGCTGGGCTGACAAAGGGGTGATCTGCTCAGGGGGTCCAGCTGGGAGGGTGCTCTGGTCGAGAGGTCTGGCGGTGGGGTTCGGCCAGGTGGCTCTGGCATGGAGTCTAGCTAGATGGATCCAGCATGTGGGGGGATCTGACAAGGACCTTCTCCACGCTCTGTGGGCGCCTGGTCAGTCTCACACCATGGCTGTGTGGCAGGCACACTGTGGCTATCAGGAGATGCTGTCTGTGTTGTGTTTGGCACAGGCCCTGCTCCCGTACACAACGTGAGTCTGAGCAGCGACGGGAGCCCCTCGGCCCTGCGAGCCTCCTGGACGGACGCCCCCGGCCAGAAGGATGGCTACCGGCTTGTTCTCTACCACCTCGACTCCCAGGGGGCCGTGAGGAACGAGTCTGTCCCCGGAGCCGTCTCCACCTTCCTGTTTGATGGGCTGCTGGCTGGCAGCGAGTACGCCCTGAGGATCAGCACGCTGGCTGGAGTGAGGCAGGCCAGCACCAGTACCCATCAGTGGACGGGTAAGCAGAGCGGGTGGTCTGCAGCCGCGAACCAGAGTGGGGCTATTTGCCAGTGACGACGGCATGGCTGTGCCCTGGTGGGGACGGGCTCTCCTGGGTCTGTGGGAGCTGGGCCAGCAGCCAGCTTTAGCCAGGCCCGTTATCTGTGTGAACTGGGGCTGTGGGGAGTGAGACTGGCCTGTGTGTGACCTGGGCATTGGGCGGGGAGGTTTGGTCCACCCCCACTGTATGTATGTGAATGGGAGGGGGGCGCCCCTGACTGGTGGTTGAGGCCTAGAGAGCAGATCAGCCTGCTCACCTCTGTTCCCATCCCGGCATTGGGTGGGTTTATTTCTATTTACCGTGAGGTGCTCATCCCCGTGGTGCGAAGAGCAAGCGACACCTGCACCTAAACTGCCCCGCCCAGCCCCAAGACCATTCACAGCTGCCCCCTTGCCTGGCCCAGACTGGCTGCTGTGCCCTCCTCCCTCTCTCCAGCAGCCTTGGGCCTGGGGGGGCTGGCAGAAGGGCCCTAGCTACTCTGAGCTATGGAGCTGGTTTAGCGTCCAGGCCTGTCCCTTCCCACTGGTCCCGGCACCCCAAGACGCTCTTTCCTATGAAGCAAGAGAATCCAACTTGGACTGTGCCCAGCTGCTCCTGCTTAACCCTCCCCTCACCTGGGGCAGCCCAGCCTCGGGCTGGCACGTGCCCTAACACCAGGGTTGCACAGAGGACACAGTCTGTCCTGGTGCAACGAGGGGCTGCTCTCAGCTGGGAAGGAAACAGGAGGAGAGCAGCATCGGCAGTGCCCCAGGGCCGGTGGGACAGGAGGCTGTCTGCATGGCTGTCTCTAGCACAGACGCAGCGAGTCCCACAGCAGCGAGGATGTCAGCAGGGCTGGGTGCCCCTGGGTGCCGGAGCCATCAGGCATTCAGCATGCTCCGCCCAGCACTCAGGTGTGAGATCTGCTTGGGGCAGTCTGTAACAGCTCCTGTCAGCTCTGCCAGGCTACCTCTTGGCCCCCAGCATCCCGCTCTGGCCTCTGGGCACATCTCAGCGAGAGGAGCCCAGTGACTCTCTTGAGGGCATTCAGGAGTCTCCCATAGGGAGCTGTGGCCAGGCCATCCCAATCCTTTGCCCGGCGTGCTGGGGGAGGCCTAGCTGGGAGCCACTCAGTCCCCCTTGGGCTTCTCTGGTTACTGCCCGGCTGTCCCACCAGCGCTGGAACCTGGTGCCAGGCAGGCCCTCTAACTCCACCCTGTAAAATGATCAACCTCCCCACCCACGCACCTCGTACCCGTGGCAGGCTGGGCACTGCCAGCCACACACCTCCCCAGCTCCTGTCTGTGTCCTCAGCACCCACCACCCCAGCAGCGCTGACACTCCAGAGCCTGGGCTCCAGCACCAGCCTCTTTGCCTCCTGGAGCGGTGCCGAAGGAGCTGCCTGGCTGCATTTAACCCTCCACAACCTGCTCTCCCGCACGGTGACCAGGACAGTATCAGCCAAGAGGGGCCTCTCCAATTACACCTTCCAGCACCTCAGCCCTGGCACCCCGTACCATCTGGGGGTGAGCGCCGCTGCTGGGCCGTACTGGGCAGTGGGGCCCAACGCCACCGCCTGGACATGTGAGTACGGCTCTCCGGGGACAGGGGAGGGGGCATAAGAACATAAGAGCGGCCATACTGGGTCAGACCAAATGTCCATCTAGCCCAGTGTCCTGTCTTCTGACAGTGGCCAATGCCAGGTGCCCCAGAGGGAATGAACAGAACAGGGAATCATCAAGTGATCTCTCTCCTGTCGACCATTCCCAGCTTCTGGCAAACAGAGGCTAGGGCCACCATCCCTGCCCATCCTGGCTAATAGCCATTGATGGACCTATCCTCCATGAACGTATCTAGTTCTTTTTTGAACCCTGTTATAGTCTTGGCCTTCACAACATCCTCTGGCAAGGAGTTCCACAGTCTGACTGTGCGTTGTGTGAAAAAATACTTCCTTTTGTTTGTTTTAAACCTGCTGCCTATTAATTTCATTTGGTGATCCCTGGTTCGTGTGTTATGAGAAGGAGTAAATAACACTTCCTTATCTACTTTCTCCACACCAGTCATGATTTTATAGACCTCAATCATATCTCCCCTTAGTCATCTCTTTTCCAAGCTGAAAAGTCCCAGTCTTATTAATCTCTCCTCATACAGAAGCTGTTCCATACCCCTAATCAGTTTTGTTGCCCTTTTCTGAACCTTTTCCAATTCAATATATCTTTTCTGAGATGGGGCGACCACATCTGCACGCGGTATTCAAGATGTGGGTGTACCATGGATTTATATAGCGGCAGTATGATATTTTCTATCTTATTATCTATCCCTTTCTTAATGATGCCCAATATTCTGTTCACTTTTTTTACTGCTGCTGCACATTGAGTGGATGTTTTCAGCGAACTATCCACAATGACTCCAAGATCTCTTTCTTGAGTGGTAACAGCTAATTTAGACCCCTGGTGATGCAGCATCTGCCTTATGCCATGGCTCGTCACTGTGGAGCAGGACAGCTCAGGAGCCAGGGGGCAGCGTGGCCAGCTCCCGTGATGGTGCTTTTTCTGAAAGCCCTGGCTCCTGGAGTCAGGTGATGACGTTAGACTCTCAGATTCTGTTTTTAAAAAGAGTCAGTTTCCACTCCTCATGATTGGGGAGCAGAGCCTGAGACCGTGAACCCTTGATGTTCAGGTCAGATAATGGAGAGAGGGAGAGCGAGAATTTTAGTCAATTAGGCAATAACGTGCCATCGCTGGTAAAATGTGGGTCCGGCTATAGAATCTTGCCTGTATGCTCGGGGTTCTACTGATCGCCATATTTGGGGTCGGGAAGGAATTTTCCTCCGGGGTAGATTGGCAGAGGCCCTGGAGGTTTTTTGCCTTCCTCCGCAGCATAGGGCAGGGGTCGCAAGCTGGAGGATTCTCTGCGACTTGAAGTCTTTAAATCACGATCTGGAGACTTCAACAGCTGAGATAAGGGAAATTGGGTGGGTCAGCTTTGGTGGCCTGCATCATGCGGGAGGTCAGACTAGATGACCATAATGGTCCCTTCTGACCTTAAAGTCTATGAGTCTATGAATGGATCATTTGAAAACATCCCATGGTTGTTTTTTTTTAGGGCGATCCTATGATTTTTGGTGCCCCACTCCTGATTTGTGAGATTACAGATATTCCTGCACCCTCTTTTCAACTAACTATCCAGGTAGCTACATCTTGGAGAGATGCTTCTTGTTAACTGTGGTGCAGTTACTTTTGGAAGCTGTGCATCTCACCAGCTGCCTGCTTTCTGCCATAGAGCGTCTCTGACTAGACTCATTCTCTGATGCAGCTGCTGCCTAGAGATTAACAAAATGTTATGTGGTGCCAAAACATTCCAAGGGTCTGTTCCGAACTGGGAGTTAGTCTCAAGGACAGGCCCCGAATCAAAGAATGAAACAGTAGCAGGAACAGGATGAGGTGAAGCCGGGGAGAATTTAGGCTGACTATCCAGAATGGTGTCCTGACGAAGAGCTCTATGAGGCTGTGGGCTTGTCTCCCAAGGGGGAGGGGTGCAGGTGCCATTACTTGGGACAGGTAAACCGAGTCTGGTGTAACATGATGTAAGGAGCAGTTCTCCTCTGGCCTGTGTGAGAGGGAAGGGTTAGCTGATCTCAGTCTTCTCCATCTCCTACATCTCTAATTCATGCTTCTGTCTCTTCTGGGGGAACTCCCTTTGGGACAGAACTGGGGAGGGCAGGATAGAGATATGGGGCAAGGCTGCATGGGGGAGGCTGGCACTGCCTGCTCTAGCCAGCGCAGTCACTGACTTCTCCCTGAAAAGGAGATGGCTTCTGCCCTGGGCGAGTGGATGAGGCTGTCTGGGGGCAGCGTGTGCCTGGGGGTTCTTTTTAGGAGATGTTTGAGCTGCTGGGCACTGACCCTCCACCCCGTGTTCTCCTTCCTCCCAGACCCCCTGAGCCCAGTCAACCTGACCCTGAGCATCACTGGGAAGGCTGGCTCATTGCAGGCTCGCTGGACCCCGCCCGCTGGAGAGAGGGACTATTATTTGGTGACCTTGCATCAGGGAGAGAGCAGAGCCCTGGCCAGGAACGTGTCTGTGGGAGGAGACAGCGCTCACGTCAGCTTCCACGGGCTGAGCCCTGGGAACCAGTACTCACTGCGAGTGACAGCCGTGGCTGGGCCGCACAGGGCACCTTCTCTGAGTGCCGCCGCCTGGACACGTAAGCAGCGAGCCCGTGCTCGGGACCCGAAGGCACTGAAGGGGCAGGGAGGCCAGGACAACCCCTTGCTTCTGATGGGCTGGGCCGTTAGAGGTCCCAGTGGGTAAGCCTGGCCCATGCATGGCTCTGGGGTGGGCAATGGCACTGGAAAGTCCTAGAGGAGGGAGGGCAGGGCTGCCTGGCTGGGCATGCTGTTGGCACCGGGGTCACTCTTGGGGGACTGTGATGAATAAGGATCATTCTGACAGAGGAGTTCTGGTATATCAGCTGGCCTGACACAAGGTCACCTGGCCATTGATCACGTGGTTGGTGCTCAGGATTGGCAAGCTTTGTGAGCATGCTACCTGCTGTCACCAGAAACCAGAGCCTGGGGCCTGGCCTGGAGTGTGGTGCCCGACGGCAATGGAGTGCCAGGCTTTGCACAGCACAACCCTCACCCTGAATGGGCCACAAAGACAGAGCTTCCCTGTTGGGGTCACCCTGGCTCTGTGGCTAGCAAAAGGCTGTCAGTCCTGCCTCTCCCCACAGAGCTGAAGTCCCTTTAAGTGAGTGACAGGGCATCAGAGTGATGCCACCAGCTGCCCCCAGAATTCCATATGGCTGTGCCTACGATCCCATGCGTGGAGCAGCTGCTTGGGTGCTGCATGGGGAGGGGCCCCTAGGTGCCCCCGTGCAGCGTGGTTGTGAGTGTACTGACCACACGGGGCTCTTTCTGCTTTGCAGAGCCACTAGCGCCACCTGGCGTGAGCCTCTCCAGCCAGGGGAGCACCTCCACCCTGCATGCCCGTTGGAAGGAGGTGGCTGGAGCTGGGTATGTGGTGGCGTTGTACTCCCTGGAGCCCCCTGCACTGGTGAAGAATAGCTCTGAGGTGGGAGGTGTCACCAACCTCACCTATGAGGGGCTGAGCCCAGGGACCCACTACGCCTTTGTGATCAGCACGGTAGCTGGGCCTTACGCCTCCCCACCCCTGCGCATCACCAACTGGACATGTAAGTGTCACCGGTGCCCGCCAAGGGGGCTGACAGGGATGGAGATGGAGCCAGGGGCATGAGTTCCCAGTGTTTCCCAGTGGGCTTCTCAGCTGCTCATCCTGGTGATGTCACAGATCAGTGCTTGTGACATCACAGGTGCATCCTTTGTGACCTCACTGACTAGAACAGCAGAAGGATCAGAAGGACCATGGGGTTTAGTGACACATGGAACCCATGGGTCAGTCCTGTCCAGCGTCTGGACTAGCCCACCCGATCAGAGCATAAGTCTGTCTAGCCCAGTCCCCTGCCATACTGCATCAGGCCATAGGCCCGTTTACTAAACTACCTCCCCTCTGCTGCATCTGATTGGGCCACATGTCCACCTGGTCCGTTATCCACCTACCTCCTGTCTTAGATTGGGCCAGAGGTCTAGACTGAGTCCAGTGCCCACCCCCGTCACACCAGTTCAGGCTGTCAGCCCAGCCAGCCAGCCTCCCACCTCTTGCCACACTAGCTCAGACCATCAGTCCGTTATCCCGCCTCCCGCAGGAACCAGCACTTGGCACGTCATTGGGAAGCTAAACTCCCCAAAATGCCCTGCTGGCTCTGAGTGGAGGATCGGCAGGTGACCCACTAATGGGGATGGATAGCTTAGTGGTTTGAACATTGGCCTGCTAAACCCAGGGTTGTGAGTTCAGTCCTTGAGGGGGCCATTTAGGGAACTGGGGTAAAAATCTGTCTGGGGATTGGTCCTGCTTTGAGCAGGGGGTTGGACTAGATGACCTCCTGAGGTCCCTTCCAACCCTGATATTCTGTGATTCTAGACCCTCAGCAGGGGGCCTGATGGCTGAGGTTTGTTTGCCCTGAGAATATGGGGCAGGATTCTTCCCTGTGGCTGTGGACCCCACTGTAGCAGTAATGGTCACAGGGGAGGTTGTTCCAGGCCAGGCAAGTCTGGGACCACGGGAGGCTTTAGCCGTCTGCTCCCGATCCATTGCCCGGCTTCAACTCCAGTCCCTTTTCTCCCCTAGATCCTTTGCCCGTGGAAGAGCTGAGCCTCAGCAACCAGGGACAAAGCACCTCCTTGCGCGCCTCCTGGAAAGGAGCTGCTGCCGGCAGCGTGAATTACAGCGGTGTCCTCCTCGAAGCCAGGTCGCAGGCGTGGCTCAGGAACGTGACAGTGGGGGAGAGCTGCACCAACGTCACCTTCCAGGGGCTGAGCCCCGGGCATCAGTACACCCTGGAGATGGCTGCCATGGTTGGACCTTACAGATCGCCTGTGCGGACGGCCACAGACTGGACATGTGAGTGGGGGCTACTCTCCCACACCTGCCTGTCTCCTGAGCCAGCTGTAGCGTGGGCAGTTTAGGCTCCAGAGGAATGGAGAACAGTGAAACAGTGACAGCCGGGGGGTCTAGATACAACAGTGTAGCGAGGAGCGCTTTGGGAATGCTGGAGCCGTGAAGATGGCTGGCTGGCTGGTCAGAGATGTGAGAATGGAGGTGGCTAGCCAGGAGGATTCTGAGGGCCCAGTTCAGCCTTGGTATAAGCAGATGAGACTCTGGTGCAATGGGTGGAGTTAAACCAAGACTAAAGATAGCCCCAAATGGGCCTGATTCTCCCCTCCAGGGCCCTTGTGTGTCCTGCCCATTTGTGCAAAATGAGTGCCAATCCCTCGGGATGCCCAGCATTCGACACTCACTTTGCACAGGTTTAAGCAGCACCCAGGGTGCCCGGCAGAATCAAATGGGGCCTGGAGTCTAGCTCTGGTTTAGATCCACCCCTATGCCCAGTCCAAGTTTCTGTAGGTCCCATGGTACTCTGTGTGGACATATGTGCAACTTTCCTCTACACACGAGCTTGACGCCCCGGAGATCCCTCCCATCATATGTGTCTGTTTCACCCGAGCATTGAGATCTGGTAGTTCTGCCCCGTCTCCGCGCACATGGAGGTGTTTCTGGCTTCCCACCTCCGCGCACATGGAGGTGTTTCTGGCTTCCCACCTGTAGGCTGTGCTCTCCATGGAAGGAATTCCATTTGGGCTTACAGGAACTCCTAACTCTTGCTGGCAAACATTTTAAAAGCAGCAAGGTGGGCACCAACTTCAGGCGTGAGAACGCTGCTCCGTGCAGTGATGTTGCTCGTACGCGGCACAAGGTTGCTTGATCCTGCCGGCTGATCGTTGGTGCCAGGGCTGGCTTTAGGACCTGCGGGGCCCGATTCGAATACCTGGCGGCGGTCCGGGTCTTCGGTGGCACTTCGGCGGCGAGGGGCCCACTCTGGGTCTTCCGCGGCACTGAAGGACCCCCCGCAGCCGAAATGCCGCCGAAGACCCGGAATTAAAAAATTTAAAAGGCGCTGGGCCCAATTCCGGGGAATGGGGAGCATCAGCCTAAAGCTGGCCCTGGTTGGTGCTTAGCAGAAGGCTGGCTATTTGTGGGGTCTGGCTGGGCAGATTATCTGAGATAAATGCAGCTGGAATCCCAGTCCCCTACCTACACTGTGACCTTTTAGGACTGCGGTTAATACAAACTTATTTTATTAGTGGACTTTTCTATGGTGCCCATCACCAGAATATCTGGGCACTTCCCTAGCATCATGTTCAGCCTCCCAGCACCCCTGTGAGCGAGGGAGGTATTATACCCATTTTACAGATGGAGGCACACCAAGGCTGGCTGATCGGCTCGCACCATGACAGAGATGGGAATAGAACCCACATCTCCTGCCCCGGCAAGCCTGTGTCAAAACCTCCAGCCCAGCCCAGCCCAGCCTTTCTCCCTCACGAGCCCCAGCTCCAGATCCTGGGCCCCCGTCCCACTCTCTGCATCTCATTCCCCTGCATCCATGGCATGGCAGCTACTAGCCACTTACCCACCTCTTTCTTTCAGACCCTTTGGCCCCATCTGGTGTGACACTGACCAGTAAAAGACACCCCCTGGGTCTCTCTGCTGCCTGGCACAGCGCTTCTGGGGTCAGAGACCGGTTCCTCATCCACCTCTACAGCAAGGAGCTCTTGATGCAACAGAACGTTTCAGTGGGGCCAGACACTCAGAACTTCACTTTCCTGGGGCTTCTCCCCGGGATCCAGTACTCCGTGGAGGTGACGGCCCTGGCGGGACCCTACAGAGCCTCGGCGCCATCTGCCACGGCGTGGACGTGTGAGTACGGGCTGCGGCCTGTGGGGATGGTCTCCTGCATGGTGTGGGATCCTGGCATCGCCTGCAGTACTGGAGACTCTGGGTCTGTCCACGCTGCAATCAGAGGTGTGGTGCAGCATGTGTAGACGTAGCTTTGATCTAGCTGGCACCAATGACAATAGCAGTGAAGCTGCGGCAGCATGGGCTGGTGTCATGTTCCTGTACCAGATGTGGACTGGCTACGAGCTTGCTTATAAACGCCAGATGTGTTCAGCATAAGATCCTTTAATGCTCTGCCTGCTATGGCTGAGGTTAGCTTTAAATAAGATATTTTACACACAGTATAACAGTATATATTGAACAGTATAACACAGTTTAGCATTCCATTACATCTCCCCCTTTACGTTCTACATTCCTACCATTTACAGTATTCACAATGTCACGATTTGGGGTAGGCGGTCCAGACTGACTGACTAGGCTTAGAACTTCATTGAGGGTTTTGTTGTTCTTCCATCAAAGATCCATATATCAGAATATCGTCCATGAAAACTACAACTCCGTTTGAGTTCTTTAACAGTTCGGCCATCTTTCTTTTGAAAAGTGTATGGGGCACTGGCAATCCCAAAAGGTGATCTTTGAAAGCAAAACCATCCAAATGGTGTGATAAATGTAGTCATTTTAGCATTTTCTTTGGCTAAAGGAATTTGCCAGAATCTGCTTGAGGCATCCAGCTTGGAGAATACTGTCGCTCCTTTCACTTTGGGGAGGAAGTCAGCCAGTGTTGGGCGGATAGATTGTTTCTCTCACAACTGCTTCATTAAGTCTTTTAAGATCCACACAGATTGATATTTTTCCATTTTTCTTTATAACCAGTACCACTGAGGCATACCATGCTGCTGACTCAGAGATTTTCTCAATTATGCCAATCCGCTCCATTCTCTTTAACTCAGTTTCCACTCTATGAAGTAATGGGATAGGAATGCTGTGAGGTGTACGTACACTATATGGTTCAGTATTGTCTCGTAAGGTTATTTGTACTGGATTTCCTCTCAAAAGTCCAGTATCACCAAATATTCCATTGAGTTCTTCTACCTTTCTCATTAGGCCCATCATGGTGTCACGCTGCGGCTGAGAAGGCTGTTGGACTGTGGTCCTTTGGTCACATACAATCTGAATGCACAGCTTTTGTCTTTGTAAGTTGTTTCTGTGGTGAACTAGCCCATGCAGTTCAGAATACAACCAGGGCTAGTGAGAGCTGTGTCAGGTGACTTCAGCTCTGGGAGGGGTTGAAGATGGTTGTAAGTACCCTCTGAGATATGACTATGACATCAGTTGCTGAGTCAGTTTTAAAGTCAATAGTCTTGCCGAGAATATTCAATTTCACTCTCCAGGCAGGTTCTATGTCATCACAAGTGATAGATCGAAGAAACAATGGCTTTTGATTGTCTGCAATATGAGTCAACTCCCTGAATGCTTTGATGCAGCAAACAGCTGCAAAATGTCCATATTTAATGCATTTATTACACCGTGTGCCTCTGGCTAGATATGCATCATCTCTTGGGATATGATTTTTTCCCACACCTTGTGCATGTAGGCTGGAATTTGTCCCTCTTAGCCTGGGAGTTCTCTCACCTTGCCTCAGGGATTTTATGATAATGACTTTTAACACTCAAGTGTCTGTTTACAGTTTCTAAGCTGGTTTCAGGACTTTCAAGTTTGTCAGTTTCGCTAGAAAAGATATTTTCATGTTTTGCATTCCACAAATCAGTTTTCAGCCAATGTATGCAGAGCTCTTATAAAACAGTCAACATTTTCCTGTTTCTTGAATTCTTTGGTGAAAACATGCTCTTCCATAAACCATGTTTCTCTGAGGTATAAAGTATGCATCAAACATAGCCAGAACCTTGTCATAGTCATCTTTGTGACTGTCTTTAGTAAAATCAAAGGATTTAAAGATATGCTTTGCCTGCTTCCCCATAGAAGCAATTAAAGCAGATACCTGTATATCTCCAGTTCGTTTGTGCAGCTTGTTTGCAATTTGAAATCTTGCAAAATACTGCTTCCAGTCTGTCCATTGGGAAGGTTTGTGAAAGCTGCAGTTCTCTGGAGCATTGAAGAGTGGCATGTTGATGATATCCTGCAACCTTTGTTGCTGTTTTCCTTCTCTTTTTGCTCTTAGTTTACTCTTGGCACCATGTCATGCTTCTGTATCAGATCTGGACTGGCTACAGAGCTTGCTTCTATACCAAATAGGTTCATTATAAGATGTTTTAATGCTCTGCCTGCTGAGGTAAGCTTTAAATAAGGTATTTTACACTACATTTTACATGCAATGGCTGAACAGTGCAATACACTTTAGCATTCTATTGCACTGGGTATGTTCCAGAGCAGGTAGCCTGCACTGCCATGGCGTCACTGCTATCAGTGTCCAAGCTAGCTGGGTACATCTGCACAGGCTGTGGTTACACCTCCGGACTGTGGTGTAGACATCCCCTTGGTCTCTGCTTCCAGCATTTGCAATGATACGACCACTAGCAGCAGATATCTCCAATGGCTGGGGATGGGACACTAGATGGGGAGGGCTCTGGGGTCCTAGCTTGGACACGGGGGCTCGCGCTGTAACAGGCACGAAAGGAGCGGAGAAGATGTAAGAGGAGGAGAGGCAGCTTCCGGGGCCAGCTGTGTCTGCCCGTTGCTCTCATTGCGGGGATGCTGGGCTGAGAGTTGTCTGCCCTCAGTGGCAATGCCAGCCTCATGTGTAGCGCTGGAAGTACACAGGGCACCTCAGAACTGTGTCCCAAATGGCTTGGGTAACGCACTGGCCGGCTAGATAACAGCCTGCTATTGCTGCTGCCAATGAATGGAGCTTCTCCTTTTGCCCAAGTGATTTGTGCTGCAGATAGGAAGGTCCTGGGTTCTGTGGTGCCCATCACCATAGTATCTGGGCACCTACCATACAGATGAATTCAGGCTCCCAGCACCCCCATGAGCTACGGCAGTTTTTCTTCTTTCCCCCTGTCTAACGCATCTTCCTGCCTTTGTTTCCCCTCCCCAGACCCTGTGTCGCTGGCCAACATGAGTGTGACACGCGGGCCAAGCCCCCGGGAGCTGCATGTGGGCTGGATGGAGTTGGGCGGGGCGGGAGATCATTGGGTGCAGCTCTACGCGGATGAGTCTCTGTCCATCATCAGGAACGTTTCCGTACGGCGTGGAGCTGCTCACGTCGACTTGGACGGCCTGGTGCCCGGGGCGCGGTACCGGGTGGAGGTCGTCTCTCGGGCCGGACCCCACCGCACCTCCTCGCAGACAGCCATCGGCTACACAGGTATATCATGGGCCTGGTGGTGTGGGTGTATCCGCCTGCTGTGTTAAAGGGCCCCTCTCTCCATTGAGCCACACGGGTGTGAGTCTGTTACAGGCCTGGGCCATAGAGTGTTCCGCTCAAGCTGTAGCAGCTCCTGCTCTTAGCTCTGGAGGTCCCTGGTTCAGACCCCCTGCATCAGCCCAGAGGGTGGCTGCCACACCGGGGCTTCCACAGGGCACTGCTTTGGGGTACAGATCCCCCAAGACTGACCTGCTCATCCATATCAACGCTGGGCAGAATCCCGGGGATCTCAGCCAGGCCTCTGATCCAAACCAAACCCCTGCTGGTGGGCTGGTTTGGGTCAGGGAAGTTCCCCCCGAGTCCCCTTTACTTTTGCGGCTGGGCTCAGCAGACTCGACCCCTCTGATTCTTCGCGCTCCCCTTGGGGAGGATGGCACTAGCAGGTACCTGGCTGCAGGGGCACGGCACGGGGGGGAAGGGGGCCTTGGCCGGGGGAGGAGTGCCGTTCTGCCCTAGCCCCAGGCCCTTGCTGCCCAGGAAGGAGTCAGAGAATGGGGCCCTCTGGCCCTCACCCCCGTCAGACACGTGCTATTACCCTAGGCTGTCACCGTCGCCGTGCAGCCGCATGGAACGGGAACGGGGTGAGGAGCTGAGATCTCAAGCACCCACCGTGCCTTAGTCTGGCTGTGAAGTGCCTGGGGCGCTGGCTCTCCTATCTTTGCTCTAAGGACACGGGGCATGTGCCGTGTTTGCCCTGTGGGCCCCATGACACACTTTCTCCCTGCTAGCCCCTCTGACGCCGCTGTCCCCAGCCGTGACCAACGGGGGCAGCACCTCCGCTCTGGCAGTGCGCTGGGAGGCCCCTGCAGGACAGAGAGACGGCTACCTGGTCAGCGTGTATGAAGAGGACGCCCTGGCAGCCGGGAGACGCGTGAATGCGGGGAAGGACAGCACCAACGTCTCCCTGGCGGGGCTGGCACCGGGATCTTGTTACCACGTTGGAATCTCCGCTCTTGCCGGACCCTACAGCTCCGACCCCCAGAATGTCACCGGCTGCACAGGTGAGCGCCCTGCCTGCCGCCGGGCTGTGCGTTCGCAGGGTCTCAGTCTGGCTCAGAGGGGAGAACAGCCAGGAGCACTGGAGAGGTGATGGCGTTAGAGAGGGGGGTGCCCCCGTGCAGGGCTGGAGGTGTTGTCCTGCCAGAGGTGCCATGCTTTGGCACCATGTATAAAAAGCTGATCTCCTGGCCAGATTTCTACAGGAACAATTGCTGTCTGCCTCCGTCCCCCTGCCCTTTCAACTGCACAGGATCCTTCATCACGTCCCGAGCTGTTGCTGTGGGCTGTTGCAGGAGTGTCAGGCTCCTCCTCAGAGGTGGCTGCACGCGAGTGGTGGGATTTTCCCTTCCCTTGTGGCTCCCTCTTGCCCTGACTCCTCCCTCTCTGCCTTTGCCCTGCAGTTCCAGCTGCTCCTGCCAACGTGAGCCTCACCAACTCAGGCAGCTCCTCGGTGCTGCGTGCTGCCTGGGACGAACCCCCTGGGGGCAGGGACCACTACCGGGTTATTCTGTACAGCCTGGTGCCCTGGGGCATAGAGACAGCTCAGTCCCTGGGACCCAACGCTCAGAACATCACCTGGACTCGCTTGGCAGCGGGCAGCCGATTCACTGCACAAGTCACTGCTGTGAAAGGTCCCTACGAATCCTCCTCTGTCAACGTCACCCAATGGACGTGTGAGTGTGACGGGCCCAGGATCAACCCCCCAGCTCTGACCCTACGCCCCCCTCTGCCCTGCTCAGAGCCTGGCTCCCTCTCCCCCATTCTGATCCTTCACTGCTAGGGACTCCTCTTCCCCTGCCGCCCCTGGGGAACAGCCCCACTCTGCCCAGCCCCACTGCAGCATCCCTGCCTTTGGCCTTCGGGTGCCAGGCCCCACTCTGACCCTGCCATCCCTGGGGGCCAGTCCCTGACCCCGACACCTCCTCCCTTACCCGGCTGCAGGTCCCAGGGGTGCTGCTCTCTGTGCTACATGGACCAGTACCCCCCTTGGAGCTGCCGTGTGGCCAGCTTGGTCCCTGGTGTCTGTGTTGCGAGCTGCTCTCGGGAGATGCAAGCTGGAGACCAGTGCTTGGTAGCGCCCCCACCTGCTGGATGAGAGGAGGCTCCTGCTGGGGCAGGCTGTGCCCCTGGCAAGGGCAGGTAGGACAGAAGCTGTGATTGCTTCTGCCAGCGGAGGCTGACTGTCTCCCCTTCTTTTCCAGACCCTCTGGCCCCTGCCAACCTCACCCTGGCCAGCCCCTCTGCCTCCGCCCTGCAGGTCTCCTGGACGGGGGCGGAGGGGGGAGGAGAGGGCTACACCGTGGATCTGTACGACGCCTCCTCCGGCAGGCACGTTGGCCACACCTTGCTCCCCTGGGGCGCTAGGAACCACACCTTCCAGAGCCTGATCCCGGGCACCCACTACAGCGTGGGAGTGAGCACCGTGGCAGGGCCTTACCACTCCAGCACCCCCAACCTCACCCATTGGACACGTGAGTGCCTCTCCCTGTTGCCAGGGGCCCCTTGGCTCTCCCGTCACAGCCTTGGCTTGGGGAGACCCATCTCCGGGCTGTGGGCTCCCAATGCCTTGGATCGGGACTGGAGTTGTGTGGGGGATAGGCAAGCCCTTTAGGTCCTTGCAGATCATCCCACCCCAAAGCAGGAACTGTTCTGATCCCAGCCAGCTGGATTTTCCCTGCCCCCCCACCCCCCGCAACACCTTTCACTCACATCCTCCCACTACATCCAGCTTGAGCAGCCTCTGCTGGGAATGTGGCCAGATCTCATGGGCCCGGGGAATCCAAGAGAAAGGCTGGGGCAAGGCAGGGGGAGGTGGGGGAGTCCCAGTCGAGGCTGGTTCAGAAGCCCCAGTGGTGGCGAGGCGGTTCTGTGACAGAGCCGAGGCCATCGGCATCTTCCCGCCAGCCCCAACAGAGCCCGGTGGGGCAGATCAGGGGCCCCAGCCCAGCTCGGATGTGCCCGGCTCTCCCCCGGCAGGCCCTAGCTATGAGGCTGGGCTGGGCGGTCCACAGTTGCAGGCGCCGTATCCTGAAGTGTTTGGTTTCACCCCCAGGCCCTCTGGCCCCTCTGGCCGTGCGTGTGGCAAACCAGGGGTACCCCGACAGGCTGAGCGCGTCCTGGGGAGCAGCCGCCGGGGGCCGCGAGGGCTATGTGCTGACCCTGTATCACGTGGGATCGGGTGCGGTGGCAGCCATGGCCGTCGCTGGGGAGGACGCCCACAATTTCACCTTCGCAGAGCTGGCCCCAGGATACAGGCACTCGCTGGAGGTGGTCTCCATCGCCGGGCCCTACAGGGCGGCTGCAGCCAATGTCAGCGACTGGACCTGTGAGTGCTGGGGTTGTAAAGGGGGGACGCATCAAGGGGGCGCTGCTTGCAAATGGAGCAGGAGGCCCTTGCAAGCGCAGAACAGCATCTGGGACGCTGCTGAGTGCTGGCAGGTGCTCAGATGCCAGCCGGTGACATCAGTGGCTAAGGCAGGGGTGGGCAAACTATGGCCCACAGGCCACATCCGGCCTGCAAGCCGATGTAATCCGGCCCTCGAGCTCCAGCCGGGGAGCAGGGTCTGGGGCCGCTCTGCGTGCATGTGCTGTGGCTCTGCACAGCTTCCGGAAGCAGTGGTGTGTCCCCCCTCCGGCTCCTACGTTTAGGGGCAGCTAGGGGGCTCCGCGCGCTTCCCCCCGCCCCAAGCGCCGCCAGTGCACAGGAACTGCAGCCAATGGGAACTTCAGGGGTGGCGCCTGTGGATGGGGCGGCGCGCAGAGCCGTCTGGCCACGCCTCCGCGTAGGAGTCAGAGTGGGGACATGCCGCTGCTTCCAGGAGCTGCTTGAGGTAAGCGCTGCCCGGAGCCTGCACCCCTGAGCCCCTTTCTCACCCCAACCCCCAGCCCTGATCCCCCTCCCACCCTCCGAACCCCTCGGTCCCAGCCTGGAGCACCCTCCTACACCCCAAATCCCTCATCCCCAGCCCCACCCCAGAGCCCACACCCCCTGCCAGAGCCTTCACCCCCTCCTGCACCCCAATTTTGTGAGCATTCATGGTCCTCCATACAATTTCCATACCCAGATGTGGCCCTCGGGCCAAAAAGTTTTCCCACCCCTGGGCTAAGGGGAGGTGGGCTACCCTCCCCTGCACACTGCCCCGTTCCCATGGGGAGAAGCGTGTGCACACCGGTGTGCACACACATACACACTCACACAGACATGCACCGGATATACACAGCCACGTGCCCAAGGACACAGAGAGATGCACTCTCACATAGGTGCGTGCACATGGACAGAACGTGCCTGCACTGACGTGCCCGTGTGCACGATCACACAGATGGATGCACACGTGGATGGCACACGCTCACACACGTCCACTTACGCAGACGTGCACACATGGACACCTGCCTGCTCACACACATGCTAAGCTTTAGTGTGTACAGAGACTAAAGGTTCAAGGGCTAGTGAATGAGGATATTGGAAATGAGTGGCTGCATATCAAACAAAATCAGAACACGCTTTCTAGAGACTAAACTTAACTACCAAGGTAACCTCCAGTCTGTCGACGTTTTAGCTCACCCAAAGTTCTCTCCCGCCTTTCCAGCCAGGACTGCCAGCCCGAGACCTGCATTCGGGAAGTGAAAAGCGCTGTCCTTTCTGTTCTTCAGTGAAGGTTGCCCGGGTGTTATCTTTGCCTTCTAGAAATACCCCCTGCCCCGTTCATTGTCTTTGCTCCCAGACAGGAGAACCCCCCCCACCCCCGTACTCCTTTCCTGGTGATTTCACAGCTCTTCGTTTAACAGTTGACTTTGTATGTAAATGGGTGTCTGCTGTGTTAGCTTAGGGTGCTTGATTCACATTGCGACAGAGAGGGAGAGACACTTCTCAGCCTGGTTTCCTCCTTTGCTGGTGACTAATCCCTTGATATAGATTTCCAACGTATACATAACTCCTCACATAGCATCTGTGCTGACCTTTCACAGTGATGGTGGTGACAGAGTGACACCGGCTTTCATTTCAAACTTCACCTGACAGTCTTTGGGGAACCAGAATCTACAGACCAGAATCAGGAGATTCCTGTAACCCTCTTGCCAGGTGGCGTTCAGAAGTTTGTGGGTCACAGGCTGTCACAACAGGGGCAGATGGCAAAGTAGCAGCACTGCATGGGGTGCAGATCGAGGAGTGCAGGGAAGTGTGTCAGTGGGGGGAGGGATGTGTGACAGCAAGGCCCCTCCTTACCCTCAGGACACACATACCATGCAGTGCACTGTCTGTCATGCTGAGGATCCCATTCGCTCTGCCCCGTTTGTGATATAAGATCTGATGTTTCCCCAGATCCTCTGGCACCCCCTAACATGTCCCTGATGAATCAGGGGCACCCCGACAGGCTGACCGCATCCTGGGGAGCTGCGGCAGGGGGCCGGGACGGCTACACGCTGACCCTATACCACGCGGGATCGGGTGCCGTGGCAACGAAGGTCTCTGTTGGGAAAGACACCCACAATTTCACCTTTGTGAACCTGGCCCCAGGAAGCCAGTACCTGCTGGAGCTGGCTTCCACAGCTGGGCCCTACGGGATGTCTGCGGGGAACGTCAGCGACTGGACATGTGAGTAGCGGGATTTTCATGGTGAGCCAATCTGAGCCTTAGACGGGTTCCCCAGCAGCTGTCAGCAAAGCATCTGTGAGTTCACAGCCCTGGGAGCCAAGCAGAACTGCTCCGCCCTTCCCAGCTGTGAATCCCAGAGATGGTCTCTGGCATTGATCAGTGAGTTCCCAGTTCCCTCTGGATCCTATGATGTGTCACCAGACCCGTATGCACTTTGGCTCTGCAGCTATGTGGGAGCCGGAGGTGAACCTAGAACCAGGGGGCATCTGCTCAGTGAATTCAGGATGAGTAAGCCGAGACCCACCCCGTTGGAGGATTGGGGTATGACCTCATACTTAGTGGCCATGACGGATCGAACCTGTGTCTACTCTGGAAATCGATTCTGTAAAATGAGCCCTGGGGTTATTGTCTTTCATTGATTTCTGTATCAAATCCACTCAGTTTCACAAGCAAATGGTTTTTGTTTTCCCCTAACAGCCAGTCCTGCCCACTCAGCCTGGGATCTGAGAGTCAAGCTGGGTTCTTTCCATCTCATGCCTCCTCCCCAGTAACCAGGAGCCAGTTGATGAGTATACAGGATTATGTCTCAGTCACAGGTTACACCTATAACTCTCCTCACCTGCGTCCGAGTTTCTGAGGATGATGTGCATGGAGGAAAGAGGCCGGCTTGACTCTCAGGTGACGGGCTGGTCGTTAGAGAAAAGCATCTTTATATGTATAAACTGAACTAATCTAACTGGGATTCCTTGAGACACAATGGCTGTGAGACCCCTGATGCCCGTTTGGCCAATCTTTGAGTTGACCCGCAGGCCGCACTGGGAAGGATCTGGCCCTTGCTAATAGAACTGTGGCCATTTCCAAATGCACTGAGAGGGGAGCTGGAGAGATTTAGGGTCAGATGTGCCTGAGGGGCCCAAGACTCAGGAAGAGTCACTGGGTCTTAGGCTCCTAAGCCCCCTGGGTGTTTATGAACATTTTACCCATAATCCTCTAAAAAGCAGCTTGAGACCCCAAACCATTAACAGAACTACACCTGCTGACAGACACACACAATCAGATCCCCTTGTCCCTGTCAGCCTGCTGCGTCCTGAGTCCCTTCTGCCAGGGGGTGCCATCTGTGCCCTCCCCCTGGCCCATTTCTGCTCCCCGTTCTGCCTTAGGGACCGCGCTGTCACCTGCCATTACATAGCCCTGGTCTTGGGGCCTTGCGCTTCGGCCATGTTGAGCTGTGATTTGAAGGCTAAGTCGCAGCGGGTCCCTGGATCCAGTACGCGCAGCTCTTTGGCGCCTGTGCTCAGAGCCGGGCATGTAGCTGATTTCTTGGTGCGGGAGGCTCACAGGGGATTTTGCTGCCAGTTTGGCATCAGTTTGACACTGAAGCTCAATCAGCAGATGCCCTGGGGTACACCTGGCCAGATCTAACAGAACAGGGGGTAAGGGGGAGTGAACCCCACGGCACGCTCCCCAGTACAGCTGTGTTAAACCCTCTTGGGCTGAGCTCCCGGCTTGCAGGACACCCATTACTGCTGTCTGGGAGCACGTGGGGCGTGGGCAGAGATGGACTGGAGCTGCCTCCCAAGCAGTGTGTGTGTGTGGGGGGGGATCATGTTGCATCCTGAGAGAGGCTGCAGCAGAGTATGCCCTGCTGCGAAAGGGGTGTGGGGGGTTGTAAGTGGGGCACAATCTTTTCCTGGGGATCTCTACACAGGGCGGTGCCGAAAGGCGCAGTCTATCGCTGCACTGAGACAGCTGGGAGCCGCTGTAAACTCTTCCCCATTTCACAAACACATCTGGGAAGGGTCAGGGCTGCCTGTGCACGTCCCCCATGGGACGTGGCCGCATCCTGTCTCCACAGGGATCGCTGCACGGACCCGAACTCAGAATCAATAGCACCTGGGCTGGTGGGGGAAAGGAAATGGGAATCCTCTGCCCTATTCCTGAACTGGGAACGTGTCACCCACCCTCCCCCGGCAGGACATGAGTGAAGAAGGCAGTTAAAGCCAGGTGCATTTAGCTAATGATAACAGAGGCAGGCCTGGGTGGCTGACAAACCCCTGCTAGTGCATGCAGCTTTCATGGTCTCTCCTGGTGTTTCCCCAGACCCTTTGGCACCCCCTAATGTGTACCTGACAAACCAGGGGCGCCCCGACAGGCTGAGCGCTTCCTGGGGAGCAGCCGCCGGGGAGCGAGATGGCTACACGCTGACCCTGTACCACGCTCGAGCGGGCACGGTGGCAGCTAATGCATCTGTGGGGAAGGATGCCCACAAGTTCACCTTCTCAGGCCTGGCTCCAGGACACAAGTATTTGCTGGAGGTGGCCTCCGCGGCTGGGCCCTACCAGACGTTCGCAGGGAACATCAGCGACTGGACGAGTGAGTGGTGGGAGTCCCAGCGCTTTTGCCCGGCACATGAGATACAACGCTGCCGAGCTGGGTGGGGCTCTGCACACGGAGCAGTGGGCTGGGGCGGAGGAGTAGCTAGTGCTGCTGTGTGACAGCTTGCGGGCTGCAGGCACCCTGGAGGAGGTGGGTTTGGGCTCTGGTTTAGGAAGCTGATGGGGAGCCGGCGGCCCCTGAGGACCCCAAAGTCCTGGCTAGGGAGCAGCCAGTGGAGACCCTGCAGCCCAGGATTGCTCTCTTTGGCCAGGCATTCTGGGCTTCCCAGCGTCCTTTGCTCTCAGGGCCTTGCACCATCTGCAGCGAGCGCTTTTAATCGTAACAACGCAGCCCCAAAGCCATCATTCCTCCCCAGCCAGGGAAGGGCCGTTTCAGCCAGACCCCTAGCGCATGCCTGCAAGGTGTCGACGAGGCCAAGAACTTAGCGAGACTCCAGCAGGGATGGGAGCCTCCGGGGCTAAACCTGTGTCTTTGTTCCAATCTTTCCAATCAGGAGCATCAAACCTTCAAAATAAAAAATGGCATCGGTGTTAGCAGACAGCGGGTTCAGCTTTCAGTGCATTCCCAACGTTCTGATGGACTTTTTTTCTGCAGCCAGGCCAGTCTAGTCAAGAGCAGCTGAACGTTAGGTGCCCGAGCCTAGATTTAGGCACCTTCAAAAGCCCCTAAGTGGGTTCAGAACCCAGCTCAGGCAGGTGGACATGCACTAGCTCGGCAGGAGCCAGCGTGCCAAAAATAGCCGCATGGCCATGGCAGCACAGGCAGTGGCTCTGGCTAGCTACCTGAGTACGTACCCTGGGGGCGGAGGGATTATATCACTGCCACCCTGCTATTTTTAGCACGCTAGCCTGAGCAGAGCTAGTGCGTGTACGTCTACCTGCATGGGAATTATACCTCCCAGCTGCTGGATAGAGGGGCTAATTATCCACGTTGCCTTTGTTCCAGCTCAGGATGGTGAGGGGAGCTGGGTGTTTCAGCCGAGATGAGCGTTTAAAGGGTGACACTTCCTGGTAGGAAAATAATCTCATAGGTAAAATCTGAAAGAGTTAGGAAACTAATTAAAGAGAGGAGTCCAAAAATGTCTCCGCGGGCAATCTGAGACTGTAACGTGGGAAGGACGTGAAGAATAGCAGCATAGAAATAAAAGATCTGCCTTAAATGAAGACTAGAAGGATTGTCTCCCATACCCGACTGTATTGCCCTGGGGTGGGCTGGGGGTCGATGTGGCAGACTCAGGAAATGACTCTCTCTCCCTTGGATTGTTTTTATAACGTAGCCCCTCTGGTTCCAGCGAATCTCTCTGCGGTACCCAGGGAGAGCCGCACAGTGCTGGCCGTGTCCTGGGGCCACACCTCCAGCCAGCAGGATTACTGCCAGCTGTGGCTGCGGGATCCTGGGAACAACACGCTACCACAGAGGCACACCCTGGCCGGGGGGCAAGTCCAGCACTTCTTCCGGGGGTTGGTCCCAGGCAGAAATTACTCGGTTTCCCTGAGCTGCGTGGCTGGGCCTTACTGGAGCAGCACGGGTATCTTGGTGGTGCCAATAGGTGGGTATGGGCCTGCGCTGGGCGGGAAGCTGCAGGGGCTGGAGAGCGCAGCGGGTGTGTGCAGGGCAGGGAGGGGGGTGACCTAGTGACTGGAGGGAGATGCCCCCACGGAGCCACATTGCCTGGCATCCTGAGAAATAAACCTGATTCCACAGAGAGTCTTCCTTGGCCTGGTCCTCCTGTGACATGTCTCTCCCCTGCAGGCCCTGGGCACAGCCACACCGGCCCCTGGCCTCCCACGTGGCCCCCAACCCCGGCCCAGCCTCACCATCCCTCTTGCAAAGGCCCCGGCCAAGCCACTCCAGCCCAAGCCGGGGTTCCTGAGGCCCAGGTATCCAGCTTTGTGCCTTGGCACCGCGCAGGCATGGAACTGCTGTGGGGCACACGGCCTGGTTCGGGGCTAGAAATGCCCCCACCCCGTGCGGGGTCTGCCTAGCTCAGGGTGTCTCCTTTCTCAGCGCCTGATCCAGTGGAAGATCTGCGGTGCCAGCCTGACTCCAAGGGCTTTTCCCTGAGCTGGACCTTCCCTGCTGGAGACGTGGAGGCCTGCGAGCTGGCGGCAGAGAGGCTGTCCGGGGGCCCCCCCCAGGCTGAGGCTCGGGTGATCGCTCCCGGGAGCAAGACCAGCCTGTGGGGTTTGGAGCCAGACTCTTCATACCGAATCAGCGTGAGCGCAGTGGGCAGGAATGGGCTGAGGAGCCGGGCCGTGACTCTGGTCTGCAACACATCAGCAGAGGGTAGGTCTTCCCACGGCCCCCAGGAAGAGCTGCCAGGTCAGGTTTGCTGGTTAGCTAGCAGGCCCTATTCCAGAGATCAGAGCCCCTGAACGCGGAGCGGGGGCTGGGGCTTGGGACTGGTTTGTAGTGAAGCTGCTGTGCTGGGGCTGTGGGGCGGAACTGCTCAGGACCGAGCCAAACTCCAGCTCTAACCCCCCTGGGCCGGCTGGGTTTCCATTTCAGTCCTGCCTCCGCCGCTACGAGCAGACGTCCCGCAGGTCGAGCCTGGCTCCAGAGTTCTCATCTCCCCTGACACATTCAGTGAGGAGAACGGCCGGATCGAGTACTACGCCGTCATCGTCACCAGCAACGAGTCGTGTGAGTGCCCACCTCTCGCCCGCTGCGCTGAGACCCGTGGCCACAGTTCCCCGCCGAGGTGTGGGAGCTGCTGCTGATACGCTTGTGTCTTTAACTCCAGTGTCGAGGCCCACCCAGGAAATCGTGTCCAGCACCTGGTACGATCACTATTACGGACAGGAGGACTCCTACGTGGCTGTGCTGCTCCCCAATCCTTTCCATCCGGACAAGAGGAGCACTCCCCAAACCTGGTCCGTGCCGGTGGGAACGGACGAGTGTGGCCAGTCCCGGGAGATCTGCAATGGGAAGCTGAAGGCAAATGTTCAATACAGGTGAGCGCAGGAGGGGACCCCTGCTCTGGCGGATGCTGGCAGACAAGTGGGGGTGGAGGGGGAAAGGGAGCATGGCTATTTGGTGAGAACAGGGCTGCAGCTCCCTCGCACCCCAAACACATAGGCCAGGGGGGCCTCAGTGGGACCAAGGTGGCTGCACTGGGCGGTGCTCCGAGGAAAAGGCTGGGAAATGTATGAATGTCCAGAAACCTTCCCCACCCTCCCACATTTCAAAATTCCCTGTAGGAAAATCAGGGGACAATATCACAAACCAGCTCCCGTGTAGTCTTCCTGGCATCCATCTCCCCAGCTGGCCCAGACAAGCACCATCTCATTGCTGGTTTCCATTTTCCCAGCACCACGTTCTTTCTGTATGGGGCTGGAAATCCAGTGGCAGGGTCAGGCCAGTCCTGTTTCCTCTGAGCGGCTGGGACTAACCTCTGGTCTTGGCTTTGCCATAGGTTCAGCATTGCTGCTTTCACCAAATACGACCTGGTGGATCCTTCTGTGTCCTTCACGGCGTTTTCAGGTAAGGCTGTTCCTCATGCTGCTTCAGCAGTGGTGTTACTAGCTATCCCCTCTAGCTGTCTCTGCTAGGGGAGTTCCTTAATTGCTGCCAATGGCAGGGCAGAAAATCTCAGAAAGGAGCCTAAGTGTAGATTACATTTAATAATAATACCTAGCGCTTGCTTGGTCATCCGTGGATCTCAAAGCGCTTCACAGCCTTTACTGTATTGAGCCTCACACCCTGTTGTAAGGCAAGGCAGGGCAGGGCAATCAACCCCATTATACACATGGGAAACTGAGGCACAGAGCAGCTAAGGCAGGGGTTCTCAAACTGGGGGTTGGGCCCCCTCAGGGGGTCGTGAGGTTATTACCTGGGGGGGGGGTCACAAGCTGTCAGCCTTCACCCCAAATCCTGCTTTGCCTCCAGCATTTATAATGGTGTTAATTACATTAAAAAGTGTTTTTAATTTATTAGGGGGGGTCACACTCAGAGGCTTGCTATGTGAAAGGGGTCACCAGTACAAAAGTTTGAGAACCGCTGAGCTAAGGCATTTGTCCAAGGCTGCACAGGAAGTCAGTGGCAGGGCCAGGACTTGCTCCCAGGTCTGCCAAGTCTTCAGTTAGTGCCCTAACCACTTGGTCCTCCTTCCCCTGTGATCCCAATGTCTGGCGATCCTGGCTGTGAAGCGGGGTGGGCGACTCGCAGCGGGAGTGTCTGGGTCAGTTTGCGGAGCCCGGCGGGATCTTTTGGAATGCACAGTATAAATGCAAAGAATCCCCGTGGTCTTTGTCTTCAGCAGCTGGAGCTGGCGCAGACCCCAGTCCTGTTACAGTGCCAGTCGTGGCTGGGATTGTTGCGGGCTTTCTTCTGACACTTGCGGCGATTTTCGGATGGGTCTACTGGAAGCGGGTCCGAACGAAAAGGTAAGGGAGGCCCGTCTCCCAAGGGATGAGATCCAGGATGGGTGACATCCCTTATGCTTTCCTTTCAGTGGGTGGGAAGTGGTAGGAAAAGCTGCTGAGAGCGAAGACAATGCGATTGGCCCTAACCGAGCAAGGAGCTGACCGACAGCATGTGTGTATCAAAAGGGGTGGCCAGGTCCAGCATAGCAACTGTGAGCTGTTGGGTGTGATGAATCCACTGAAAAGTTCCCCGAGTCATCTGTGTAAGCGGGAGGGAGCCGAGCCCTCTCCCAGACCCTCCCTGCTGCTAAACAGGGCGCTTGGCCCCAGCCTCGGTGCTGCCAGGATGGGTGACATCCCTTATGCTTTCCTTTCAGAACCAAGAAGAGTAACTTATCGCAAGAAATGGCCACGTACAGCTTGAGGTGAGTGTGCTGCTCCCAAAGCCGGGCGCTCTCCGGCAGGGCCAGGCGGGTGTCTGGGACTCAGGCTGTCTGCTTGCCTACCCACATGCTAGTGCTCCACGATAGGCCACAAAGGGAGCAGGGCTGTAGGCTGCTCCAGAACCCGGGCCCCTGCCAAGCCGGTCCATCGGGTCTCTTTTTAAAGTGCCAGCAGGTGCCACGCCACTCACCTGCTAACCCTTCGTTATCTAAGTCACTGGTAGCTGTACTGCCAAGCCCCAGCTGCCTCTGGGCAGATTCCCGTGTTGCCAAGTTCCGTCACAGCCTTCATCGCCCTGAAATGCATCCAGTGCTTAGTAACCAGTGCGCTAACACAGAGCGAAGGCCAGGCCCCTCCATGGACTGGGAACTCTATGCTACTACTTGGGGGAAAAGAGAATCCCTGTTAGCTGGGAGTGCAAACGTCCTTACCAGCCTGCAGCCTAGGGACTGGGAAGAACCCCTGCCACAGGAGGTGGGACAGGCCGACTGCCATCGCTCTGTGGACGTCCCAGTGCGAGACAGCACAGGGGACTGAGGTGTCACAGGTCATTAGGTTTGGGGTTCAGAGATTCCAAGGCCAGATTATCTGGGCTGACCTCCTGCATAACCCAGGCCATAGGACTCCCTCGAAATAATTCCTCTCCAGGGCGGCGTTGTCTCCCATTGCCAAGGGCACAATTTTATCTCCTGCAGAAATGTCCACCGGCCGATCCCCATCCAGAGCTTCAAGCAGTATTACGAGGCGAAGATGGCAAACGCCAACCACGGCTTCTTCCAGGAGTTTGAGGTGAGTGTCGCATGCAAGGAGAGCGTGCTCCTGGGGACGCCGGCAGTGTAGACGCGCCGGCAGTGTAGACGCGCCGGCAGTGTCACGTGAGGGTTGGGGAGATCACTGAGCGGTTTTGTGTTCGCTGGGTACAACTGCACATCAAAGGGGGTGGGGAGGGGACGTAGCAGGAGAAGCAGTTATGTCTACACTGCAAGTGGAGGTCTGATTGTAGCGTGGCTTGGCGTGCCCGCCCCAGCTCTATTCTAGCTAGCGTAGGTAACAACAGTAGTGAAGTCATGGTGGCCTGGGCTGGCAACCGGAAAACAAGCCTGCTGGGGACCGTGGGTGTGCACTCGGGTCACCAGCCCGTGCGGCCGCGTCTACACTGCCGCTGTTACCGGTGCCACTTCCATTGCCCCCGAGTCTGGCGCACAAAGTCACAGGTGCTGGGGCGCTTTTATGGGAAGGTGTGACCACGGCTGCCCTCTGGAGTCCCAGGAGCCACCTCCTGAGTGGGTCTTTGGCCTAGTTCTCCTCTGCTCCTCCCGGGCTGTACCCTGGGGGGTCTTCATCAGGCTGCTCCTGATCCATGTCGCTGTGAAAGCCGAATGTGGCCCCAGGAGCCCAAACAATCTCTGCCTCTCCAAACGCTATGGAGACCCATTGGCTGTGTGTGGCAAGCTGGGGCTGTGGAGGCTCTTGCTGGGGAGCCTCCCTGCTGGCCCTCCCCACCCCAGCCCATCTGTCCCAGAGCGGCGTCACTGGGTTTCTCCTTGTGCCCTACAGGAGCTGAAGGAAGTGGGAAAGGAGCAGCCTAAGGTGGAAGCAGAACTTCCAGCCAACGTGTCCAAGAACAGATACCCCCACGTGCTGCCCTGTAAGTTCAGGGGCCCAGCCCTTATGTCTCCCTCCCTCCCCTTCTGCCCTTCCCTGGCACCTTCCATCCCAGGATCTTGGGGGGACACTAGCCATGCCCCCACCCCAGAGGCAGGGGGGTTATCGTCTCCTTGCCACACCCAGGGACACCAAGACACAGAAAGCTTCAGGAGACATTTCCAGAGTGGCCAAATGTGGGAGGCAGCGTGGCCTGTTGGATAGAGCAGGGTCACGTCGTCTCCCATGCCTCAGTTTCCCCATCTGTAAATTGAGGATAATGGTGGTGAGTGGGGCTGGTGAAAAGGCGCTATATAAAAGATAGGGATTAGAATTTTGGGTGCCAGTTTGAGACACCCAGAACCTGGTTTTCAGAGGTGTTTAGCCCCTACAGATCCCTTTGGTTTGCTGGAGCTGTGGGTGCTCAGCCTCTCTGAGAATCAGGCCCGGTTACGGCGTCTCTGGTGGGGCACCCACAATCACTGATCACTGACATTCCCACAGTTATTCCCGAGGTGGCTTGGTGAGACAGGGCAGGGCTGGGTCTCCCATCCCACCTCAGATCTCACTGATGCTTTTAACTTGAATGGCCCCCTTTCTTGATCCCCTCCTCCTTCCAGTGACCCCCAAGTTTTGGTCACAGCATAAGGACAACTCCACTGCCCCTGCTGTTCTGTGCATCTGCCAGCAGGGGGAGCTGCGAGCAACAGGGGGCTGCTCCCTGACCCCTCCAGCCTCCCATCACTTGTGTTGTCCCTGTACTATTCCTGGGCGGGGTGGGGGGGGGGAGGGAGCTCAGGGCAGACTCCCACCCCTGGCCCTTTGAGGCATACTACCGCATGGGAGGCTGAGAAGACCTCCAGGCCAGGGCCAGCTCCCATCTCACCTTGTGTCCATGTCATTAACACTGACACACACAGCCCGGTGTGCTAGGGGAGAGGAGGAGAGAGGGGTGTTGTGACATTTCTCGGGGTGCCCAGGACTGTGAGTCCCCTTGTTATCCCCAGCTTCCAGTATGAGGGAGTCTTGTTTGGACTAACCGGGTGTAAGCTCCCTAGCACCACCCAAGCCCTCTCCTCTGGGCTCTGCCAGCCCTGACTCTGCCCTGCAGGTTAACAACAGGTGCGCCCCAGTCTCCGGGCCCCTTTGAAACATTCCCCTCTAGTGCCCAGCCCTTATCTACTGAACACTCACCAAATCAACAGGTCTGCTGTCCCCAAGGGAACAGTGCACACGCCAGCTTGTGTGATTCAACACAGGATCAGCACCTGGCTCAGTATCACAGCACTGAGATACACTGATAGTGCAAACAAGGATACGTGTATTACCAAAGACTCAAGATTCAAGGGATAGTGAGTAACGATAAGGGAAACAAAAGGTGACATATAAAACAAAATCATCACTCACTTTCTAGCGACTAAACTTAATTAACAGACTCACCTCCTGTCTGATGAAGTGTGTCTCACCCAAAGCCTTCTGCAAGCGTCTTCAGTCCAGGCTGGTTGTGATCCCGTTTTCATGAATGTAAACATGCTGCCCATTTACGTCCTGGGGCAGGATGAGGGGGTCTTTGTTCCCCAAAAATAGTCCAGCGAACCTTTGAAGTGTATCTCCAGATAAGGTTCTCTTCCCCTGCTGTGTTTCTCTACCTGTTAGTTGCTTTCTGACATTCGGGCAATCCTTCATCTGCGTTCAGCTTAGACGGGGATGGGGAACCCATTGTGAATGAGATAATACTTAATGTACATTTCAACAGAGGGGCAGGAGACTAAACATCCCTTGTCTGACAGGACGCCTGGTTCTCCACCTCTGCTGTGATACAGACTCTAAGAACATATGTGCAGTAGACGTACATAAGTCCTTACCTAGTATCTGGGCAGATGTGACGAAGTGGGACTGTTCTTAATGTTTCCTCTCAATACTGTGTGGGTGCCTCAGTTTCTGACCGACACTTTGTCGCCTAGCAACTAGTGGCCAGGCCCTTCCCCCCTGCAAGGGGATGCTAAAGGTGTGGGAGAACAAAGAGGTCAGGTGACCTCCTGGCCCAGGAAAGGAACTCAGCAGAGAAGGAGGAGTTCGAGGGGGTTTCAGTTTGGAGCTGGCTGGGGACTAGGAGTGAGGGCAGACGGGGGTGTCTGGCTCGCGGGATCCCAGAATGGGCCCAGCTGAGGGATCCGGTTCTCTGGACCTACAAGCTCTGTTTTAGACCGTGTTCCTGTCATCTAATAAACCTCTATTTTACTGGCTGGCCAAGAGTCACGTCTGACTGCGAAGTGGGGGTGTGTGCAGGACCCTCTGGCTTCCCCAGGATCCCACCTGGGCGGACTCGCTGTGGGAAGCGCACGGAGGGGCAAATGCTGAATGCTCCAAGGTCAGACCCAGGAGGTGAAGCTGTGTGAGCTCCTTGCCCTGAAGACAGTCTGCTCCATGGGAGAGGAGGCTCCCCAAAGTCCTGACTGGCTTTGTGGGGAGCAGTTCCAGAGCATTCCCCGGGGACTCCATGACAACTGCCTCCTCTCCCAGCTGGAAAAGGGGAAGGACCCAAGAAAGCAGCAGAGCATGCTGCCCCTGAGCTGGGCTCCCTGGGGGACTGGGGTCTGGCTCGGCCAGGTGCAGCGCAGGGAATGATCACTGTTTGGTTTCTTGCAGATGACCACTCAAGAGTCAGGCTGAGCCTGCTGGGGGAGGAGCCCCACTCCGACTACATCAACGCCAACTACGTCCCCGTGAGTGCTTGCTTGCCTCCCCCACCACAGCGCCCCGGGAACCCCTGCACATGAGGGGGGCATAGCTGGCACATGCAGGCGGCTCGGTCACAAGAGGGTCTCGGTCCCATTAACATCTGGGGCTGGCTGGCAGATGGCACTGGAGCTGGCGCAGGTGGAAGGTGTTGGAGATGGGGGACTGGCGCAACCAGGCTGGCTGTAGCCTGGGGTCTGTGAAGTGTGTGTTCATGTGTGTGCCCCCTTGTGTGTGCATGGGGGCGTGGTCATAGCTGCTGTTCTGCCGATTGAGGATACTCTCACTCGCAGCCTCTCTGGATTCACGGCCTGATCTCTCTGTCTCCTCTTTCTCCTCCTAATCTGTACAGCTGCACTTGACTGATGCTGGACCTGGTCCCCCAGCCCCCATCCAGGGGACTGCCCCAGGTAACGGACAGGGGGCACCCAGCATGCCTGGGAGCGTGTGGGCCCATGTATGAGTGTTGCATGGGTGTGTCAAAGGCAGTAAACAGGAATGGCCAGACTGGATCAGAACCAGGGTCCATCTAGTCATCTCTTTTCTCCAATGGCAGCCGCAGCAGCTGCTTTAGAGGCAGGTGCAAGGACCCCATAAGTCTGGGGTCAGATGCTTCTCCTCGCAGGGTCACACTGAGGGGCTCGAGGGAGGTCCAGGAGCGTAATCTCTCTCATGCCAGTGAGGGGGAAACACACTCTTCCAGGGCATCCTATAATAACCCCCAGCTGCCATCTGCTGCCCAGGAAGTGTGCAAATCCTGGCACCAATGCTGAGGTCAATGGGCACCTGGCCCTCTCCTGGAGGGACCCGGCAGGTCATCTATTCATCCCCAAATCCAGGGTCTCACAGCCTCTGGCCCGGGCTGACTCTGGCTGTCTGGTCTCTGCCCCAGGGCTACGCCTCCCCACAGGAGTTCATCGTCACCCAGGGGCCGCTGAAGAAAACCATTGAGGATTTCTGGAGGCTGGTGTGGGAGCAGAGCGTCTGCAACATCATCATGCTGACAGTGGGCATGGAGAACGGACGGGTAGGGCTGGTGCCAGGCGCGCGCTGCTCGTGTGAGGAGGGGCCTGACCCACAGCCAGATGCAAATGCGGCTCCATTCAGGCAGCCGTGCTGGGCCCAGCAACGTAATAGCTAGAGGCCTGTTGGGCAGAGTGAAGGGGCAGTGGCAGTGCTGGATGTGTGGGCACCCAGCCAGGTGACATCTGTCTCCACTAGGTATTTCTAGAGTGCCCATTACCTAATATCTAGGTGCAGACAATAACTTAACTGTGAAACGAGCACTGTGCATGGGCACTAATGAACTCACACAGCCACTTGGCATGGAGGACGCTGGCCCTAGCCCCATCCTACCAAAGAGGAAACTGAGGCACAGCGAGGGAAAGCGAGCTGCCCAAAGACACGCAGTGGGGAGCAGACGCCAAACCACTAGCCCATGCTGCATTTGCCTCCGTGCCCAGATTCTGCTCCCCCGTGGAAGATGAGATGTGGCCCAAAGCCCCAGCTTGGAGCTGGAGCATGCTGAGCTGGGGAGTTTCAGCTGGGCCCATCTCTCCAGTGGCTGCAGCTGTCTTGTGTGGGCACTGGTCTCTCTTCCTGCGCTGGTTTCCCTGTTCCCATGCCCTGCCTTCCCTTCAGGTGCTGTGTGATCACTACTGGCCCTCAGAGTTGTCTCCGGTCTCCTACGGACACATCCGCGTGGACCTGCTCTCCCACAGCAGCGCTGACGAGTGGACCACGCGCACGTTCAAGCTCTGGCACGTGAGTGAGCGGCCGAGAGGAGCCCAGTGCGGGCCCCCGCTGACGGCACTGCCGTGGGGGCATCTCACTGGGGGAGGTGTCCCGGGGGCGGCTGCCCTTTCGCCTCTGGCCAGCTGGGTTCCAACGAGGCCACAAGTGAAACGGGTCGGTCCGCACCGGGACTCACCTTGAGGATTGTCAATAACCCACAGCTACCAGGGCGGGCAGCACACAGGTTCCCAGGCATTTCATCCCCCTCCCATTCGCCATCACCCCCGCCCTGCTTCCCCATTCCCATCATGGGGCGCTGTGCATTGCCCAGGATTGGTTGTTTCCAGATGCTAAATCTCCTCGAAGGCAGCACTGTGCTGATGCATGTGCTCCATGCCCCCACCAGCTGGTATCCAGGCCACCTCCCACGCGGCTTCCCCAGGACTGGCCTTGCTGCAGGGCAGCGTGTTGGCAGAGCCACATGGTGCAGCCTGCCCAGGCAGTCGCATGCTATGGAGATGGCCGCAGGACAGGGCCCTGAACGTAACAGAGCAGGGGCCTGGCTCTAGCCAGTAGTGTCAGTCACCTGATCTCTCAGTGTCAGTGTCTCGTCCATGCTGTGTTTACATGACTGCTCAGTGCTGATGTAACTAATGCCCAGGGCTGGCCGGGGAGTGTCTGGGGATCCTGGAGACCCAGGGCCCAGGTCTGGCTGTGGGTCTCCGGGATGCAGCCCCAGTGTCAATCTCTCCAAGTTCTAGTAGCTGATTCCGGCCCCTGGAGGTAACTCAGGGAGCTGTAGTGGACAGACCCTGGGCTCCAGAAATGCCTGGGCACATTCCCTGTGAATAGCTCCGCTGAGACTCCAGCTTCACCGCGCACTAACACCGAGTCACCGTCTGTGACAGGAGGACCTACAGGAGGAGAGACGTGTGACCCACCTGCACTACACGGCGTGGCCTGACCACGGCATTCCCGAGTCCACAGCTTCCCTGATGGCCTTCCTGGACCTGGCCCGAGGCCACATGCAGACGGCCAAGGGTTCTGGGCCAACGCTGGTGCACTGCAGGTGAGGCCCTGCCTGCCTTAGCTCTGCCAGGTGGAGGCTGCTGGAGAAAGGGTGTCTTTCCCTGAGATGGGAAATGACCTGGGAGATTGGGCCCCTCCTCGTATGTGGGGTTGGAGCCCTGGGGTGGTGAGAGCCCTGGGGATGGCCCGGTCTGTAGAGGCAGCTCCCAGCTGTGAGGGGCTCTGCCCCTGCCCTATCCATGTGAGCGCTGGAGACTATGGAGATGCTTCCCCACTTTCCAGTGCTGCTCTGGGGCCATCTCCCCAGCCCCACAACCCCACCCCAGGACAGCTCCTGGGCCCCACAACCCCCACAGCTCCTCCCACACCCTGGGACAGCTCCTTGGCCCCACAACCCTACAGCTCCTCCAGAACAGGAGCCCGTGCTGCAGGCTGATGGCCATCTCCTCCCCCCCCACCCACTGGGGCTGGTGCCTGCCTGGTGGGGGGCAGTGGAACCTGAGGGCTGGTAACATGGGCATGGAGACCTGCCCATGTTAACCCCTTGCTGTCTGTGCTGTTGCAGTGCGGGGGTGGGCCGCAGCGGCACCTTCATCGCCTTGGACCGGCTGCTGCAGCAGCTGAAGCAGGAGAAGGCGGTGGACGTGTTCAATACCATTTACACCATGCGGATGAGCCGCTACCTGATGATTCAGACGCTGGTGAGGCCCTGGGCCTTTTCCCTTCCACCTTGCCGCCAAATCAGCAGAGCTGGGAGGGAGCCCAGAGCTCGGCTGGCCCTCCCACCCCTCTGCATAACAGCCAGCTCCTGATATCCCTGAGCTGTTCCCTGCCAGCCAAGGATGGTGCTGCCTGGGCCCCTGCTCCAGTGTCCTGAGCAGGGCTCAGATGTGCCCCTGTTAGAGCCGCCCTCCCCTGCTGTCTCCCAGCAGCCATGTGCCCGGACAGACCTCCAGCAGGAACACACGGCTCTTCGGAGCCAAGGGTCTTCCCGGAATTCAGTGTGAGCAGGCTGGGAGCACCAGTCTGGGGAAGCATCGTAGCCAACAGCACCCAGGGACAGGATGAGCTGGAGGGGGGCCTGGGTGGTAGCTGCGGGGGGGAGGGGCGTAATCAAAAGCAGAGTGGCCTGTGCCTATCCCAAAACAACTCGGCAGGCTCCAGGTGTGAGTGGCTCCACGCTGCCCTGTGCATATCCAGGGGAGCGACAAGCTGCACAGGGCACCTGTAAGTTGCAGCCCAGAGGTCAGCTGATCCCAGCCACTGGACCCTCGCAGCACGCCCAGACATGCAGCCACAGCAGAAGCCAGGGACGAGCTGCCAGGGGCTAATCATGGCTGGCAGGAGCCTCCTTAGAAAGGCTGGCTGTGGGCGCTGGGTAACCGGGAGGGGATCCCCCGGAGCATGGTGAAAACGCCGGCCAAAGAGGAAGACTGACTTATCCAAGCCACCCCAGCAAGGCAGCGGCAGGGTTGGCCAGGGCTCCTGACTAGCTGCACAAGGCCATGCTCTGCCCAGTAGGCAGTGCTGCCCTTCGCCCCAGTGTGGCCCCACTCTGTGTGGTGCCGTGGTTCGGGTGGGCTCACTCTGCACTGACCGCCTGCCCTTGCCTTCCAGGGCCAGTATGTTTTCCTGCACAGCTGCATCCTGGAGAAGATCACGGAGGAGCTGCTCTTGGGCCAGTCTGGGACGGAGATGTAAGCCACCAAGCCCACCTAGCCCATCCCAAATGTGTGGGCACTCGGGTTCAGCGCCTCAGACTCCGATCCAGACCCAGGCCTGGGCTTCGGCTCCAGGCAATAGGGACTCTGAAATCCCAGCAAGATGGCCTGTTCCCTGCACCGAGGCAGGGCCAAAGTGTGGCCTCAGTCCTTTCCTTCCAAGGTGGTGAGCACCACACCCCTCCGTAGCACCATTCCAGTGCTGATACCGCAGGGGCCTAACGCTTCCTGGGCAGCCTCCGTGGGGCTCACCCCCGCCCCCCAAGGCAGTGGGCTCCGCTACTGGGTCTCCCACCCTCAGCAGAGATGTACTCCCCAGGCCAGCGGGCCGGCCTTGGGATGCCCTCTCGCAGCCAGCCACTGGCCAGCTGCTCCCATGGAACTAGCAGGGTCAGGCCAGGGAGGGGAATCACCCTGTCGACCGAGTGGCCTGGCTCTTTGAGATGTGGGTGCACAGGGGTTTATTAACCCCCCACCTCCACCCCTTGTTTTCCCAGCTCCTGCCCGATCCCTCTCAAAAGCTTCCTGCAGCACCATGCCCAGAAATCGGCCAAGTCCAACGCGGGCTTCCTGCGGGAGTATGAGGTAGGAGCGCCCAGAGCAGCGCCCTGCTGGAGAGCACTGATGCCAGCTCCCCCGCCACATACACGCTGGGGGTGAAGGGAGTGTTAGAGGCTGGGCCAGACACACAAGCACACCCCCCACCACCACCATGAGCAGCTCCTGCTCAGTCAGGCGCCCGCCAGATCTGACTGTTGTGGAGATGGCTGGTGCTGGGCGCACCCGTTGCCATGGCAACGCTGCCAGGCCTGGGACATCCCCCCCAGCTGGAGGCTGGCCGGCACTGCTTCCCTCCTGATCCCCCTGCAGAGCAGACACAGCCAGGACATCCAGCCCTCCCTGGGACTCCCCAGGGGCCCTGCGCAGGGTCAGGATCCACACAGGGAATCGGGGGCGGGGGGCAGGCAGAGGTGTTACACTCCATGGGCATCCCCCATGGCTGCTGCACCAAATCTCCCAGCCAAGCAAACCCAGCAGGCATGTGCTGTGCAGCTTGGCAGCAGCCCCATGGGGACACTGAGGCACGGGGCTGGCTCCCTGAGCTGGGGTGCGGATGAAAGCTTTTCCTGGGAGCTCTGCCCTTTGGGCTGGGTTCACCCTCTGCTGTCTTCTGGGGCAGGGCATCCCACAGGAGCCATCCACCCAGTCCCTGTGCACTCCCACCACCCCCGTCGCCCTGGCGGGGCATAGTCGGGAAAGGCCCTGATCTCTCCCCCTCCCTCCCTCTCTCTGGTTCCCTGTGGCAGATCCTCCTAGAGGTTGCGAAGGACAAAGCTAGCTCTGCAGCACCATCTGCAGGCATCCAGGAGAGCCGCCCTGGCTCCAGCATCCTCCCATGTAAGTGCCACTGATGCCTCTCTATCTCCAGGGCTGGCACCAGCTGTGTGTGTGGGAAGAGAGGGGCAGCACCAGGGCTGGACTTGCAGCCTCAGGACCAGGGGAGCTTGTCGAAATGGGGCCCTCTCTAGCATCTCCAGGCTTATCTCCTCCCCCCAGCCTTATGGCAGAGAGTTCCCAAGGCAAGACCTGGCCACAGATGAAGTGTGCATGGAAGCGAATGGACTGGGGCCGGAATGGGTTATGTGCAGGCAGAGGGCACGCGCCCTGGGCTGAGAGTAAGGGAGAGGGATTGAGGGAGAGACCCAGTGCAGAAGTGACAGGCCTTATGCAGCTATGGCCCAGGCTGGCAGGGAGTTTGGGCTGGAGCCAGAAGGCTGGTCTCCTCGCATTGGGCTGGGTGTGCTGAGCTGGGCCAGACGGAACCGGCTCCCCCAGTCCCTCATGCTTGGCCTGTTTGGCAGATGATCGCTCCAGAGTGAAATTTTTGCCCCTGGAACAAGGCCCCTTCTCGGATCTCAACCAGACCTGGCTCCTCCCGGTGAGTTGCCCCACCCTGATCCCCTGGGAAGCGAACTCCCTCACCTCCCTGCCTGGCCCCCTGGCCCTCTACCCACCCTGATCCCCCTGGGGAGCAGAACTCCCTCCCGGTGCTCCGAGGCTCCCTACTCCCATGGGGAGCAGCACTTGCCTGTCTCTGTGGCCTGTTTCTCCATAGCCGGCCTCCTCTCTCTGCGCTTGTTGCTGCCATGAGCACTGTCCTGGGCACTCCTGGTGAGGGAATCGCTGCGTAGGGCTGAACCCCGACTGTCCCCTTCGCTCTGGCTCAGTCCCAGTCCTGGGCCCTCTCCCTGCTTGGCTGTCTAATGCTTTCTTTCCTCTCTTTGCTTCCAAAGCTGCCAGACCTCCCTCCTTTTCCTGCCTTCTGGCTCTGCCCCCTCGGCTGTCCTAAGGCAGGGAGCCCATGCTCTCCTCTGCCCCCTCCCTGGGGCAGGCGAGTAAGACTCTGGTTCTTCACACAGGGCTGCAATTCATCCAGGGATTATCTGGCTGTGCAAGGACCCGACAAGGTGACCATGGAGGAATTCTGGCGCTTGGTGTGGGACCATGGTGTCCACACCATAGTCACCCTGCTGCCATGCCAGAAGGGCCAGGTAAGCCAAGGGGGGTGGGGGCTCCTTGAACCTCCCTCCCCGGGCTGTGCTGCATTTCCTGCGTGGTCTCTATGGTACTGCGCTGTCACACACGCAGGTTTGTCCCACCAGCCTCTGCCACCGTTTCACGAAGCTTTGGGCCAGACTTGGAAACTCCGTGTGTGGAGCAGGCTGTGGTCCAGGTTAGGACCCCGCTCCCCTGACGTGCATGGGGGATGCCTGGCTCCATGGCACCACAGGGGCCACGTGCATTATTGTGGGGGCAGCCGGCTCCCTCCCGCTACCAACCCTTTGTAACAGTTGAGGTAAAAACCAAAATGAGTCCCAACTCTGGAAGCAGTAAATGGCCCACATGGTCCCCTGGGGAGATAGACACCAGCTATTTAGTAGGGCAGCACCTAGAGAAGCCAGATGGAGACCTCTGGTTTTACAGGGGACAGCAGTCCAGGATAGATCTCTCTCCACTGATCTCTGCTCCTGAAGAGCGGGAGCCCCCATCCAAGGCCTCAGATGCCGCCCCTCCCTCTGGGCTCCCAAAGGCAACTTCCCAGAAGGCCAAAGAACATGTGAAATTTGCATAAAACCCAGTGGGTCACAGCTGCCCTTCATTCCTCATGCTGGAGGTGCAGCCCCCAGAGACTACAGGCCCCAGCATGCAATGCAGCCTGTTGGCTCAGCTATGGTGGAGCATGCTGGGACCTGTAGTCCCGTTGGGCTGCCACACTGTATTAAAGGTGAAGGTGGCTGCAATCAGCAACGATCTTTCCAACATACCGGTGGGCTGTCGGCTTCTGGGAGGACGGCCACATGGCCCTTTGCTGGGCAGCGTCACCCTGACGTCGGCTGTGCCCTTGGCCCAGCACCTGTGAGCCATGCCAAGTGGGCACTGATCCGAAATGGGGCGACTGGGAGCTTGACGCACCAGTCGCTGTTGTGCACAGGTCCTGAGCGAGGCATGCTGGCCCCTGGAGGACAGTCCAGTCTACACAGAGATGTTGACCATCCAGCGGGGCCCGGAGAAGCACATCTCGGGATGGAGGTGCATTCAGCTTAAACTGAAACACGTATGTGCCTCCGAGGGCAGGGGAGCTGGTTTCTCGAGCCCCGGGAGCTCCCCCCAGCTCCCATTCCCAGACCATGCCAGAGTCTCAGCCCGGGACTAGAATGACCCAGAGGCTGCAGCCAGGACAGAAGGGTATTGGTGGAGCGGGGTGGGTTATGGGGCTGGAATAGCAGAGGAGCAGCAGATCAGAAATGCTGAGGGGCATCAGCAGAGCTGGTGGGGAGCCCAAGCCTGGGACTGTCCATGGACCAGGTGCAGCAGGGGCACGGGCAGGGTCAGTGCAGGCTTACCCTGACCTGGCCACTCCCTGCTGATGTACCTCAGCCCTGCCCTACAGGCCCCACTTGCAGACGTTTCCAGCTTCGTGGCCCTTTGCCTTCTTGGAGCCAGTGTGGGGGTGGTCTGGGAGACGCAGGCCCCTGGGGCCTTGACTGAGAACTTCTAACTCATCACACTGATGCCACTGGATGCAGTGTGAGGGCTGGAGCAGAGCCACTGACCTAGGGAGAACAGCTCTGCCTTTAACGCCACTTTCCCCCTGTCCCTCTGTCTGCTACCACTGCAGCACCCCACCGCTGGGCACTGCTGACCCAGCATAGACAGGCCGGGTGACAGTACACTACAGGACCCAATGCATCACTGTGGCAGGGCACCTAACAGGTCAGAGGCTAGGAAGCAGGGCTCTCCCTACTCCCCTGGTGTCCAGGCCTGTCCGTCCTGAGCGCAGCACCCTCCCATCCTGTCGTCCGTGCATGCCCCCTTCCTCCATAACCACAGCAGCTCTCTCTGCCCTGCCAGGAGAAGAAAGTGAAGGAGAGGCAGGTGCAGCGATTCCTGTACCCTCTGTGGGGGTGCCAGCAGCAGCCAGATGTCCAGCCCCTGGTGGAGTTCCTCGCCGCAGTTAGACGGTGCATGCCACACAGGAAGCGAGCCGGCCCGCTGCTCCTGCACTGCAGGTACGGTCACGTGACTCCTTCTTCCATGTCCTCATGAGTCCCCCGGGGCCAGAACCCCCTGGACGAACATCCCTGCGGGAGAGCCAACTGCAGGGCAGCCTGGGGCTGACCAAATGACCCGGCAGTTCTCCCCTGCTGGTCTCCAGGGAGACGTAAGGACCCAAGGTCCCTCCAGGGCCAGACTGGGGCTCAGTTGCTGACATTCAGTGTATGCGGCCCCGTCGGGGGAGCCAGTGTGGGGATGTGAGAAGCCAGGGGCTGGCCAGAGAGCCTGGTTCGGGGTGCAGTCTCAGATAGCCAGTCATGAGCACCCAGAGTGCCCAGATGCCCTGGTTTCCTTAGTGCTCATTCAGAGGCCAGGCCAGCTTCCCGGCCCTGCCCGGGCATGGTCTCTGTGAATGTCCCTCTCTCCAGGGGGTCTGTGCCCTGCCCTGCTGGGAGACGGGCTCCATAATCATGCAGGCCTTGTCCGTCTCCTACGTCTGTGCCTGTGCTGTGGGTTGCGTGGCGGGTGGCAGAATGGCTGATGGCTCTCCCTCCATCGGCTGCCCCTTCCAGCAGTGGCGTTGGCCAGATGGGGACGCTGATCGCCCTGGATTGCCTGCTGCACCAGATGAAAGCGGAGCGGAGTGTGGACGTCTACGGAGTCACCCTCAGGCTGATGAGAAGCTGCTGCCTCATGACCCCGACGCCGGTAGGTGGCGAGGAGGGAGGGCGTCAGGGCCAGGTGTGCCCTGGGGAAGCAACGGCCAGGTGCAGAGCAGAGGCCCGGAGCCGGGTACAATAAGGGAGAGCTTCTCAGAACAGACCCAGGGACCCCTGAGTTCTCTGTCAGCCTCCTCTCTCCTCAGACAGCTTCTACCCACCCAGCCTCGGTCCCGACTGAGCTCGCCGAGGCGGGTATCCTACTCCGAGCCCGACACGCAGCGTGGTTCTTAGCCCGGGCTCTGTGCCCCTCTCTCCGGGCCCTGCCAGGGGACGTTCCGGGGGGCGGGGGGAGCAGCTCACGGTGGGGGGTCGCTCCATCTGCCCCAAGCCCAGTAGGGAGCTCAGGGGAAGGACTCTCAGGCCCAGATCCTCAATGGCATTTAGGCACCTAACTCCCACTGATTGAAGTTTTTAGGTGCTTAACTCCCATTGCCGAGGATCGGGGTAAATGCCTTCGATGTTAAGGTTAAAGCCAGCAGCTTCCACTCAGCCCAGACCCAGGAAACAACCAGGCAGATCTGAAAATCAAATCCTCGCAGTCCTAGCCCCCCGCTTGCCCTTCCATCCCTGGCAGCCAGTTTGTTCCCATGTGGGCAAATCCCCTGCCGCCTCCCCCTCAGGATCTGGGCACTGAAAACCACAGGACCTGGTACACTTGGGTACTGGATGTCTCCTGGGTTGTCCTGTGCCGCCTTCTCTTATAGATAGATAGATTCTTACACGGCGCTCATTATGGCAGTGTCTGAGGGGCTGGCTGCACTGTGGCTGGGAACGTGCGTCCCAGCCCGGGTGGACAGACATGCGCTAACATGGGTGGTGGCTCGGGCTTGCCGCCTGAGTCCATAGCTAGCGAGTGGCTAGACCACGCCGCTGCCAGCTAGGCATGCTGCTGCTATTTTTAGTGCGGTAGCTCAGAGCTAGCATGCGTCTGTCGCTCCCAGCTGCAGTGTAGACATACCCTGAGTGCCTATCTGAGCCTTCCCGACTGGCACCCTACAGCCAGGACACCGATGGGAGACACCCAGTTCGCCCGAAGGTCAGGGTGAGGAGCCCAGAGGGCATCAGAGGCACCTCTGCCCGCATTCCAATGGCGGATTGGGTCAAGGCTGCATTCGGAGCGGCGCAGACGCATCGCGCCACTAGATGGTACTGTGACACCAGCCTCAGGATGCCAATCCCAGCATTTCACCCTGCACAGGCTGGGCTTGGCCACAGCCCGAGCCGAGCTCTGGTTCCACAGACGTGCTTTTGGACAGGGGTTTGAAGTTAATTTGTTTATTTCACAGCAGCCTTTAGGGACGAGCTCCCCCACATTACCGGTCCCACTGATAATCAAAATCCTTCTGTGACGTCCCCACTGCCAAGCACCCTGCAAACAGCCAATCGGTTCACGAATGAATCCGAGCCCCATGGGCCCTGGGAGCTGGAGGAGAGCTCACACATGGGGTTCTCTTGTATACACACCTCCTGCCCATCCCAGCCGCTGCCCAGCTGGACAAGGGAAGGGCAGTAGGACCTGAGCCTGCCAGACCACACATGGGGGTGGAAGCACAGGGCTCGCCCGTGGCTGTGGATCTAGGCCAGGCTGCTCTTATTTTGCATGGTTCCCTGGGTGAAACTAACTTTGGTGCCACCATGGCCAAGCTGCAGTTGAACTGTGAGGTGGTCAGTTCTCCCGGAGGCCAATAACCAACAGGGAAGCCTGAGTGACACTTCCTGCTACACATCCCCACTCCAGATCCCGCAAAGGGTCTCTCCACATCTGAATCACTTGTGTTTACTCCCCCAGGCGCGTCATTAGACCGGAACCCAGCCCCATTAGCTGTTCTGCAGTGTAACTGTAATTGCCGTCTGGCCTGACTTCGATACAGACTCCTCCCAAGAAGAGTATCCAAACACCAGCAAGGCCAGCGCAGGACAGTTAATGGTGCTGGGTTCTGAAATTCCCTGTATTCCAGGAATTCAGGCATGGAATTTACCATCTTTGAAAAGGGGAACAAAGAGGATGCAGGGAATTATCGACCAGTTAGCCTAACTCTGGTTCCTGGAAAGATACTGGAAGAAATGATTAAACGATCAGTTTGTAAGCACCTATGGGATAATAGAGTTAGAAGGAATAGCCAGCATGGCTTTGTCAAGAACAAATCATGACAAACCAACCTAATTTCCTTCTTTGACAGGATTACTGACCTAGTGGATGTGGGGAAGCAATAGATGTGAGATCTTGATTTTACTAAGGTTTTTGACACAGTCCCACTTGACAGATAACTGGCTCTGTGGATGAGGGGAAAGCAGTGGACGTGTTATTCCTTGACTTTAGCAAAGCTTTTGGTACGGTCTCCCACAGTATTCTTGCTGGCAAGTTAAAGAAGTGTGGGCTGGATGAATGGACTATAAGGTGGATAGAAAGCTGGCTAGATTGTCGGGCTCAACGGGTAGTGATCAATGGCTCCATGTCTAGTTGGCAGCCGGTTTCAAGTGGAGTGCCCCAAGGGTCGGTCCCGGGGAGGGTTTTGTTCTATATCTTCATTAATGATCTGGAGGTTGGTGTGGATTGCACCCTCAGCAAGTTTGCAGATGACACTAAACTGGGAGGAGTGGTAGATACGCTGGAGGGTAGTGATAGGATACAGAGGGACCTAGACAAATTAGAGGATTGGGCCAAAAGAAATCTGATGAGGTTCAACAAGGACAAGTGCAGAGTCCTGCACTTAGGATGGAAGAATCCCATACACCGCTACAGACTAGGGAGCGAGTGGCTAGGCAGCAGTTCTTCAGAAAAGGACCTAGGGGTTACAGTGGACAAGAAACTGGATATGAATCGACAGTGTGGCCTTGTTGCCAAGAAGGCTAACGGCATTTGGGGCTGTATAAGTAGGGGCATTGCCAGCAGATCGAGGGACGTGATCATTCCCCTCTATTCAACATTGGTGAGGCCTCATCTGGAGTACTGTGTCCAGTTTTGGGCCCCACACTACAAGAAGGATGTGGAAAAATTGGAAAGAGTCCAGCAGAGGGCAACAAAAATGATTAGAGGGCTGGAGCACATGACTTATGAGGAGAGGCTGAGGGAACTGGGATTGTTTAGTCTGCAGAAGAGAAGAATGAGGGGGGGATTTGATAGCTGCTTTCAACTCCCTGAAAGGGGGTTCCAAAGAGGATGGATCTAGACTGTTCTTAGTGGTACCAGCTGACAGAACAAGGAGTAATGGTCTCAAGTTGCAGTGGGGGAGGTTTAGGTTGGATATTAGGAAAAACTTTTTCACTAGAAGGGTGGTGAAGCACTGGAATGGGTTACCTAGGGAGGTGGTGGAATCTCCTTCCTTAGAGGTTTTTAAGGTCAGGCTTGACAAAGCCCTGGCTGGGATGATTTAGTTGGTACTGGTCCAGCTTTGAGCAGGGGGTTGGACTAGATGACCTCCTGAGGTCCCTTCCAACCCTGATGATTCTATGACAGTCTCATTAACAAACTAGAGAAATGTGGCATAAGATGGGTGCAAACTGACTGAAAGACCGTGCTGAAAGAGTGGTTATCAATGGTTCGCTGTCCAGCTGGAAAGGGGTATCTAGTGGGGTCCATCCTAGGCCTGGTACTATTCAATATTTTCATTAATGACTTGAACAGGCTCCCAAGGGAGGCTGTGGAATCCCCGTCACTGGAGGTTTTTAAGAGCAGGCTGGACACACACCTGTCAAGGTGGTACAGGTCCTACCACAGTGCAGGGGGCTGGACTTGGTGACCTCTCGAGATCCCATCCCGTTTCTATGACCTGGTTATATGAAATGGGGTGACTGCAGAACCACAGTGTCATGACAGTCAGTGGGCTTGACTGGTGTCTCTGAGGCAGGGTCAAGCCCCCCTGGCCTAGAATTACTCTCTGAACACCTTTCTCTGTCTCCTGCCTCCCTTCAGGATCAGTACGTGTTCTTGTACACGTGCATCCGGGACATCCTCACCCAGAGACAGCCCTAGGAAGAGCACAGCAGCTCCTGCCCCCGAGAGAGCCCGGCACTGGGGGCAGGCTGAGGAGAGCGCATCGCAGGGCTGTTTGCACAAACCTGACTGAAGCTCCCTCCGGAGAGAAGGGGACCCACCTGGGGCAGAGGCACCAATCAGCTCCCCACCCCTTGAGGCCAGCACAGATGAGGAGCTAAGGCTGGGTTAGCCTGCATCAGTGGTTCAGAATCTCGGACTCTCCTGGTCTCTTCTCCCAGGACGCGGTGGGAGAGCCTATTGCACATGCATTGTCTGCACCAGCCTCCCCCAGGGAGTGCCCCTCTGCTGCCCACAGTGCTGCAGCCCACTCAGCTTGCAAGCACCCAGTGCGGGGCACGGGAACCTGTCCAGGATTCAAAGATTTAAGCGGGGCTGCATCCCTGCTGCCTGGGATTCCTGGGACTCTGGAAGGTCCATGAATCCAGTCGCTGTAGCACTTGCTCTGGGATCCTGCCAGCCTCCGTACTGCCCTCCCTGCCCCGCTGAATACAGGACAGAATACATGGGGCGCCCTTTCTGCCGTGCCTGGCTCAGAGCCGGCATGTCCTACTGAGCAGGCTGCTGGGTGATGCTTATTTCCATCTGGCAGGAGGGCTGGGAGGCCCAGGCGCTACGCACTGCTTCTCAGAGCGTCGAGCGGATGCTCCAGGTGTGCTAGTGCCTTTGGGAGACTCTGTGACCCAGGGCTGAGGACCAAGCAATGTGTAAGAACAATAAAGAAAACAGCCCTAGAAGCCAGTGTCCTCTAACGAACGGTAGGTTTTACCACAAGCCCTGGCCTGGCCTGCGACCTTCCAGCCAGCTGGACTGCGACCTTCCAGCCAGCTGGACTGGAGGGCACCATCCCCAAAGGGCAGCCGTGCACACCTGCTGGGAGCACGCCGTTCGGCTGGCTTCCAAACGCTGCCCCTTCGTGCCGGCTGTCCTAGCGCAGCCAGAGCCTGGCAGCTCGGCTCCGAGAGCTGAGTCCCAACCGCTAGAGCAGCAGACCTCTGCAGACCCTTGGGACAACCCTTCACATGGGACTCTTGCCTCTCCTAGCTGGGAGAACAGGGGCAGGACTCCTTCCCCCCAACAGCATCCCGTCACCCCCGCATTTATACAGAGCCTGTGAGTAGGGGCCAAGGCATAAAAAATTAAATTAAATTAAAAAAAAAAGACAGCAAAACCAGGAATAACAATCAAATGAGAAGACCCTTGCTGGCCAGTCACCCTCCATATAACCCTGTCTCTAAGGCCTGCCAGTTTATGTGGGGGAAAAACATTATCCACTAATTCGGCCTCAGCGCACTGCTACCCTCTACCGGGGGAGCATGTGTATCAGCCATGTCCTCCAGTGGTCGCGCTAGAGGAGCTGTCTCTTCATCCCACTGGGATGTGGGGTTACATCAACATACCACCCCCGCAACGGGACCTTAACTCTGGCCCCTGGAGCTGGCGATACCCCCACGGGGTGCCAGTATCGGGGGTGCCATAAGAAATAGGAAGAATGACGGAGGGGTTTGTCTTGATTCCAATTGCAGCGTGGACCTGCACGCACTCAGCTGCGTTCGCTGGGGCTGGCACCACTGGGCAACCGGACCTGAGCGTAAATGAAGTTTTTGGACAATACACTTGCCTGGTTTTTCTTTGTTTATTTGTTTTTTAACCCTCAGCACATCCTCGTCCCACAGCCCAGCTGCCCCTCCACTGCCTCTGGCTCCTTGGCAGTGACAAAGCCAGCCCCAGCAGGCACTGGCTGAGTGTTAGCACCATCACTGCACCGTGTCCTCTCCTCGTGTCCTGTCTCTGCCGTGCTCCCCAGCCCTTTGCCCCACGGAGCAGTGGGCATCAGCGGGGGCCCCACAGGCTGAGCTGCTGGGCAGTGCAGGGAGTCAGTGGGGGCATGTTTTGAAAGGGGGGTATAGATGTAAGGGGGGATTTGGGGGCAGAGCTAAAACCTCCTTTGACCCCCCCTGGTCCCCCTGCAGTGCACTGACCTCCCCTTTCCTCTAGGAGCAGCAGCATCATGGGGAAGGGGGAGCCTAGAGCCCTTCCCCATGGCTGGAGGCAGCAAGGGGAAGGAGGGGAGCAGGGGAGGGAAGGATGCCCCTTCATTGGTCTGGTGGAGCTGCCATGGGGAGGAATTGTGGGGAATGGGGGTATCTGTAGGGGAGGGAGGAGGGGACAGATGGCACCACTTCTTCCCCCCCCCCCCCTCCCTTGTATGTCATTGCAGGGGAAGGTGCTCAGCTCCCCCCTCCACCATGGTTCTGCTTCTGAGATCCAGAGAATAAAGGTCTCTTTGAGGATAATCCCTTATCCATCAAGGGATCACAGGGAAACTACCTTGGGGGAAACCCAGTTCTTCCTCAAAGCTCTAGCCATCAGACTGGGTTTTCAAAAATGCAGCATTTGGATGAGCCCTGGCGCTAAGAGGGGTCATAGGCTTGGACTGCGATAGCGCATCAGGAGTTGTGCCAGTGTGCAGCCCTATGGTGCAAAAGTGGCGAGCCCTCACACGGCACCCTCCGAACCCCCACATCCCCACACCGATCCCCCCATGCCCTCCGAACCCCACATCCCTGCACCGATGCCCCCACACCCTCCAAACCCCCACACCCTCCGAACCCCCTCATCCCCTCACTGATTCCCCATGCCCTCCGAACCCCCTCATCCCGCACCGATCCCCCCCACGCCCTCCAAACCCCCACACCCTCCGAACCCCACATCCCCGCACCGATCCCCCCACACCCTCAGAACCCCCACATCCCCGCACCGATCCCCCCATGCCCTCCGAACCCCCACATCAATCCTCCCACACCCTCTGAACCCCCACATCCCTGCACTGATCCCCCCACACCCTCCAAACCCTCAAATCCCTGCACTGATCCAACATCCCTCACTGCTCCCAGCCCCCCATTCCCTAGCTCTGCCCTCCCAAAAGTCAGCAGAATCTGAAAATGTTCTCAGCAGCTCATGTTAGGGGTTGTGTAGCTGGGACTTGGACCAAATGTCCCAGCGACTTGCTTTCCTTTGATCACAGTCAGTCCCATTGTCCAGGAACCAGTCAAGGAGCAGGATTGCATTAACCCAGCTGCTTACTGGCATCTTTCACCTTCCCTCTGTTTGTTTAATGCTAATTTCCTTGATAATACTCCTAATCAGAGCCTGCACGTGGAGTTTAGAGCACTGTGAAGAGCTCTTAAATGAGGGCAAGACTGCCAGATGGAGAACCATGAATGTGCATGAGACCCTGTCTCAGAAAGCTCCCACAGGGCAGGGCTCCACAGTACGTGGATTGAAATGGAGTCTAAATCCCATGCTGGTTCTGAGAGGGTTAACAGGAGCCTGAACGCTCACCTGCAGAGATGTTAAGTAGGTCAGTTAGCAGGTCCATCTGGTGACGAGTCAGATTTCCTTACAAGGACTGAGAAAGCCCTGCATGGAGGGGAGCAGGGAGGTTGGGAGTTCCTGCTCTTGGAGAATGGCTACAGGAGGGGACTTCACTTCTGAGGTAGGACTCAAAATCCCAGCCATGGGGTGTTTGGGTTGAGCTGAGCAGCAGAGAGTCAGGGACAATAAGTGAAGAGCTCAAGTTGAGGCCTGGGGAGTGGGGAAGGAGGTGAAATTGGTACTGGTGGCTCCATTCCATCCATGGCCTGAAGGAAGAGGGGAGCCTGAGGGGAATCCATGTATATCCTGGGTGTAAGAAGGGGCGTGGGAAAGGCCTGCAGACCGGCTGTGGCAGGAAGGAGCTCAGGGAGAAAGCAGGGGTGGGTCTGTACAGCTAGACCTTGCCTAATGGCTGGGTCCTTGGACTAGAACCCAGAGAAGGGGAAGGGCCTGGGTTCCCCTGCCAGCGGCTGGGCAAAGTGGTGCAAAGCAGAGAGCAGGGGTAGGGCCAGAGATGTGGCCTGAGGCTGCAGGACTGTTGTTTGGACTCCTGGTTGCCCCGTAAACCGTGGGACTAAACGAGACCTAACAGAGTCCCCAGAGGAGGCAGCCCACCGCAGGGCTGGAGCAGCTGTTGGCAGAGAGCGCTCTCCTCAGCCAGGCCCAGTCTGGGACCCTGAGGTCTACCCTGAATAATTCCAGAAATGTTGCTTCCACCAAGGGCCTGTGGGGGCCAGATCAGCCTGAGTGACTGAGATCAGTTTGAGGAGGATCAGGGCTGTAATCTGAGCCCCAGGTGTGTGTGTGTTAGAAGAACCAGGTGATTTTTGTAAATGTGACTTTTAGGAGAGCTGGATCTTGCAAACCCCTTGCTCAAATGACTCCAAATGTGGGTCACTCACTTACCTACTACCTCCCTTGAGGCACAGCAAATTTCAAGCATGTGCATTTTACAGCTCAAAGAATAGCTGTCTTTTAACCAGTCAGCATTCCCAGCCTTAGCCATCCCTTCTGTCTACCCATGACTGAACACACGCATCAGGCCCCGGGGACCTGCTCTGCCACTGACATTCACCCTTAGCCCCAGGCCCCGGGGACCTGCTCTGCCACTGACATTCACCCTTAGCCCCAGGCCCCGGGGACCTGCTCTGCCATTCACC